GGGCGACGCTGACATCTTGGTTGTACGTGACAACGAAAAATCACATGAGAAGGCATCAAAAGGAAAATCGACAGTTCCAGGCCGAGATTGGGCCGGAGGCTTTCAAAAGACCCCTGTTAACCCATCGAAATGCGATCACGACAGGATGGAAGAGAGTGGGTAAGATGTCTAGAGATAACACCAAAGCGAGGGAATCAATACTAGAGGAGGACTTGGCGAAGAACGTGAGCTTGAGCCTGCACAATTCCTTTTGTTTGAACCGGGAATCTAGGGTGAAAGCACTACCCAACCAGGCGAAGAGGTTGCAGGAGCAAAGAGAATGGATGCGATCATATGAACAGCTGAAGGCTTGGGAGGAGATCGTGATTAGCTCCGATGATGAAGAAGAACTGTTGAGACAGTTTGCCGTATCCAGTACTTCAGGAGACGGCACCTCTAAGGCGAAGAGTGCGAGATGAACGGATGGCTCGAATGGATCTTGAGTCTTGAGAGGGAAAGGGGGCTTGAGTGTGGATCCGGGTGAAACCTGGATTCACGAAAAAGAAATTTTAACCAAACAAATATTGTTATTAATATACTATATTTACTATATAAATGGAAATACTGCATGACAATTTCCTGATTGAATGGGACAAAAGAAGTTTTAAATGATTGGCTTAAAAAGCGAGAATTCAAGGGTGCAGGTGTGTGCAGATTTTGATTGCTGTTTAGCGATAGTGTGAAAATTTTACATGGCCGTGAATTTTTGGGGTGTAGATAAGCTTAAGTCTGCTGCAAACTTCTGTAAATGACCACTGGCACTGTATCTTGAGCAACACTCGGTTTTCTGGGACTCACTGGTAGACGACGGCACGCGATGAGGACATCGATCTCGAGTCCGGGGAGTATGTGCCAGTCGGTCATATTTGGAAGTTTTGACCTTGAGAGAAGCAAAAATTACTTGATTTTGGAGAGAAATTTAATTTTTCAAAAATTCGAATGGAGCATGTCATGCACGATTTTCTCGCGATAAATGAAAATCAGAAAAGAGAAGTCAGAACGTTCGAGTGAAAAACGCGGGAAAGTTGCAAGAAAAATCGGTAGGAAATTGCTATTCGCAATTTCCATCATAGTGAACAAGAGTAGAGCTGTCCTATCTGAAATAGAAGACAGAGTATTCCCGAGAGAACAATTATTCGAACTGGACCAGAGTGAACCTTCGACGGAAAGGTGGACAGCTTGAGTGTCCCAATGGTCCACATAAAACTACAGTCTAGAGTAAAAACTTGTTCTTGTTATTAAAACTGACTAACATTAAACTCACTTTAGTTACTTTATTGATTCCTGAGTTGCTCACCGACTTATTTACTTCCTGGTTCTTGAGCGTGCTACAATGTGAGTACTAATTTAAATTTCTAGAGTGTGTTTTATGATTGTTATGTTGAGGTAAGGCGAGTTTTAGGTTGATCCATCTGAAATGGATCAAAGTTCCACTGTCTAATAAAAAGTAACTTAGCGGATTGTTCCGACCCGGTTTTTAACGGCGTTCATGTATTTTGGGTATCCAGAGACCTAAGTATGGGGACGTTTCTAATTCTAGAGTGGGGGATATTTTAGTAGTAGCCTTTAAGCTGTAACGGGTCGTAGTCTCATGTCACAAGCGAACCGATTTGGCTCCGACTGATTTGAGGTACAAAAACACAAGAGATAATGTCCCTGACTCTTGAGCCAATGGTTATAGGGCCTATTTTTCTTAAGCCTCATGTGTGACTGCAGTAGACGAATGTTACAGTCTCGAAATACCTAAAACATGCATACGCCTTTAATTACAGGGTCGGAACATTATGTATACCGTTAGTTTTCATTGGACAGTGGACCTTTGATCCATTTCAGATGGACTTGTTTTTAACCTTGTTTTATGATTGCTGTTTCACTAAAATTCAAAAAATGTCAAAACCATGTCAAAAATGTCAAAACATGTCTGGTACCTGACTGTCACGCATTTTCCCTCCCCGCTGTAAGCGGTCTTATGCGGTTTTTATCTTTTGGGTTCCAAAAACTGTCTTTTTCCGATCCTCTTACCCAATCCGGCAAGATTACCTACCTTAATTCGAGTTTGCTATCGAGTACAATCGCGTTGCTACTCTTGTTGTGAGTCTGCAACTAGGTTGTTCCAATGTAACTAAATCGACGATATCGATTATAAATTCCTGTAAGAAAGCCCCCTTTTTACAATTTTTAACTAACAACCTCTATCTTAACCAACCCCTGCTAACCTCCCCCCTATCTAGCCCCCCACTTAAACCGAAAATTTTTCTAAGCGCGATGGGTGCTAAACCTCTCGAGTGAAAGTCCGTTGAACCTTTTTCCAGGCTCTGCTCTAGCAAAAACGTATCATAAAACACACTCAAGAAATTTAAAGTGGGCACTTACATATCAACACGACCTCTGGAATCGAGTAACTAAAAAATGTAACCCGAATCGATTTTAATTGAAAAGGAATTAAACACTTGTCATCTGTTTTTATCATTATCATTTCCATATCTAGAAAGTTCCAAGGATTTTGACTGGAATACGTGATGACGGGACTCCTGACTGTAAACTCGGTTACTCTGATACTTTTGATCTTCTGCCTACCTAATATAAAGAAGTAACTAAATGTAGAGCAACTTTAGAATTGATTTAGGGTATTTAAGTATAACTGAAGAAGTTTGAAAGGAATAAGTTTTAATCCAAGCGATAAGTTTCCTGTCTGAACCATTGGGCAGCTTCAGCTGTCCACCTTTCCACTCAGGGTTCGCTCTGGCCCACTCCAACGCGCCTTCTATCTGTTCTTCGTCGCTCCTAATTCTCTGCCAGGAACAAGACAGCTCTACTCTCGTTTGATTTTTAATAAAATTGCGAACAGCAATTTTTTTCCATCAATTTTCAGCTACTTTCCCGCGATTATTACTCGATACTTCTGGTTCATTTCTTTTTGCCTTTTTAGTTGTCGCGAGAAACTTGAGCATGACAATTTCAATTCGAATTTTAAAATATTACCTTTCTCCCCTAAATGAAGACTGAACGTTCAGCTCAATGTCAAACTTCCAAATATGAGTGACTGGCGCAAAAATAAAAAAATTTAGTAGGAAGTTGTTTGGTCATTTATTGTTCCATGTCTTAAACTGTTTTGCCAGGGAGATTCTCTGCCTACTCTGGGTTTCTCAGTGCATATGCTCCGGTTCTTACAAAGCTTCCCCAGCCTCACACTAAATCTTAAAAACTAGCGGTTGATAAAGAGAACCATCATCTATTACGTTTTTATACTTATCATTTTTGGCTCATCCACTTGAGCGGCAGCCGTACCAGGGTTACAAACAGACCCAGCACTAATCCTGCTAGGGGCTTAGGAGTCTACCACCGTTTTATCCCATAATAGCTGCTTACCAACAACTATTATGGAACTAGCCCCCCATGGAACTAGCGTCAAACCGTTTGGTGGCTTCTGATAGGTTCTGTAGATGTGTCGTTATTCTAAAAGAGACGAATTGAGTACAAGATAAACTCTGCTTTATTAGGGCATTCAAGTTTGAATGCATAGAGAATCTCACTGCATTTTTGAGGCAAGAAATGCCATGCCAACCATCTTCGGTAACGACTGTCCCGCACACGCACTTATGCCGTTTGCAAGTTTCTTGAGCCTAATCGAATTCTCGCAATTCTGAGTTGTTGGTTCAAAAGCTTAACCTTAAATTTTTGCTCGGCTCGACGTTCAACCATTGGGAGCCAAATCTATTTTGGAACGCGTTGAATCTTTTTACGTCCGCTGGTTCGAGTTGTAAAATCAATTCTGCAACTTTTACAATTTTTACAACTTTGATTATTATTTGTATTTACCTGATGATGCTAGTTATAGAGAGTTGCAAAAAGTTCGGACAGACAGAAATAATTAAAAAGAGCAACTGTCTAGACATCAACTGAAATTAAAACTGAAATAAACATAACATCGAAAGTTCATAAAGCCGGATTACGGGATCTATTTAACAATCCCCACTTTCAAGAAAGGGGAGGAGATTGTTAATTAGATTACTGGCAGCGAACTTTCGACCAATCAGAATGCAGCAAAATTCGAATTTACATACAAAGCTCTAGTGCGAATTTACTGTTTTTATTTACAGGGGTGGATATTATTTAGTAAATACAATAGGGGAAGGGAGGGGGGGGGGGGGTGGGTGAGATTGTTAATTAGATCCGAGTTTTGCTCAAAATCTATAACCACGGCGGGCAATTGCATCCGAAGCGTCGAGCTGTTTTATAGTAAAATCTGGATGTTCATCGCAGTATTTAAAAATTAGGCTAGCATAATCATCGGATAACCGACAATCTCGCATTTTGAATTTGGTCTGACAAAAAATTCAAGGTTGTTCGGCTTCAGATTTTGCATGCAAAAAAGCGTCGAAAAGCACTGATTGCTCATTTTAATTAATTCTGTCTGTCCGAACTTTTTGCTACTAATTATATAATGGAAAAGTTCATCTTTTAATTAAAATTTTATTGGTTTATTTTTTTTTTAAATAAAAAGTTTTTCTTTGTAGAAAGATATAACGTACAATTTAGAGAAAACTCGTTTTTCAAACGTTCAGTAATGACATGGAATAAGATTATAGATGATAAATTTATTTTATGGGGTTAACTAACATACAAACAAACGAAGATCAAGTTCAAAATTACTTTTTATTATTATTTAAAGCAGATCCATAGCTTATTTCTTCATTACGGGGGGCGATTTATTTCTTCATTTGGCGCATTTTATGCGAGTGCAACAACTGTAGAGACCCGAAGAACCTACTTTTATAACTGAAAACTAAACTTTGAACAATGCAATGTCTGGGTTTTATGCGAACCCTTGGATTATATTCCTAAATCCTTTGCTATTATTATTATGATTATTATTATTATTTAATTATTATTGCTTAGTTGACCCCAATACTGTTACCTCAAAGATGATTTTTACCTGATAAAATTAAATACAAAAATAGCCTTTTTTAGTTGACATGTGGAAATGAGATAAAATGTCTGGAGACTCGGAGTCATGGTATAGCAGATTGAGAAATCTGATCCTCAATGCAAATATTGGCAACCCCTCAAGTGACTCCGTTTTCTCAACTCTGCCGGAGGTATCAACATCAATTTCTCTGAATGATGTAAGTATCTTGAACTATTTCACAACAATTTTCCCAAATTTAAATCTCAGAAGGATTATCTGTCCTGGGTTACAGGGAACTGATCATCTTTCGCCTCCATACGGATCGCCACATGTGTCAATAAGTGGAGAATTTCTCGAAACAGGAAACAGAAGTGGATGGCTCGCTTTGCACGAAGCGGCGGCTAGAAACGATTCAGAGGTTTTGGCATTCCTGCTCAAACATGCCGGGACATTTATTGATGTCCTGACCGAAGAAAACGAAACTCCGCTCTTTCTGGCAGTCAAGCATGGGCACTTGGCGGTTGCTAAGCAGCTAATCAAAGCCCACTCGAGCCTGAACATCGCGAATATTGACGGATTGACTGCCTTATCTGTGGGTTAGTTTTTAAGGATTGAGCGTGCTGTCGGTTACTTTTTAAGGATTGAGTAATGAGTCGGTTAGTTTTTAAGGCAGTAAGCTGTTGCTTAAGCTTTACGTTTTGGTTTAGTTAGAGTTTACGACGTTTTGGTATAACTGGATTCAAGGGCGAGGGATTTTAAACTGTATAATGATTTTTAAATATCAATGAACCTAGTGAAGACACTTAAATAGGTCGTGTTGATTTTTTTCTGAGGAAAAAGTCTTATCATTTGCTCAGGTCAATTCAAATTATTCAGCTAAAAGAAAGACAAAGTACGTTCTCGTATTACGAAAGCTGAAATGGAGCGAAAAACATCGTGAACAACTCAAGTTTCAAAAAGATTTGTTTATAGATTTTCCGGCGAAATGAAAAAAAAATCACCTATTAATCCAGCTTTCTCACTCAAATCGGGTGAATTTTATCAAGAAGTTTCAATCAGAAATTCGTCTTAAAATTGAAAAAGGGTTAAAGCCATCTAATTTTTTTACTTTGAGTTTCGAAATTTGAGTTTTTTTTTCAAAATAAGACAGTGCGTTTCTCTATTTTTTTGCGTTAAATTTTTGAAGTCTGATATTTCAAAATAAAATTTGAATTTGATATTTAAGTTTTGCTTTTTTTTTCACTCTTTCCCATGGTTGAATCGTTGCCGAATGTTGAGGTTGATGAAGTTGTATTTTGATGTTCTTTTCAGCTGTACAAAACGATAATTTGGAAATGATCAGTCTCCTACTGAAGGAGAGTGACTGTAATGTGGACCACAGAGAGCACCACGGCTGGGCGGCCTTACACGAGGCAGCTCGTCAGGGGAAAAGGCAGGTCATCAACATGTTGCTGAAAGCAAGGGCTCAAACAAACATACTGACAAATTTAGGAGAGACGCCCATCTATATAGGTAATCCCTATTCTACTAGATTATCCCAAAGCTGATGCAAGTTCTCATTTAAGGTAACATTAAAAAATTTTAGGGCGTCATTTTCGAGTTAGTTTCTGATTTTGTAGTTGCCGTATAGTTGAAGTGTTTGTTTATTTATTTATTTAAATATTCATCATGAGTAATCAAATTATCATAACACAATAAGCAAAAATTCAAAAATAACTCATGATAGGACAACCAGAAAGCCAACGAGAGGCTTGTTGAAGGTTGCCCCGTAAAGGAATCACATCATATGACATCAGATCAAAAGGTTCAATAATTAATTTAAGTCAAAGAGGCAAATTTAAAGCGAAAAAAAAACGAGACTTAAATAGTGCAATCACTCTTTTTTTTTTAATTCAAGAGCTTTATTCTTTAACATGAGAACCAGAGATATGATGCAAGCTTATACTTACAAGGGTATACAACTGACAGCGGGCGGATGCGAAATAATGACTGTTAATTTAATTAGCGAGCAAGTGGGCCCAGTTCTTAAGAGCTGGTAATCCAGTTGTTCGCTTTTTTCTAACTCCCCTTCCTAGATAATAGAAGGGGAGTTGATAAGTTTGTTAACTCCCCTTCCTAGTTTGTGTTGATAAAAGATAAACGTTTTTTTTCCTGAAAAACGTGTAAAAACTAGGCTGTAGGTAAAATGTGCAAAAATCCCCTCATATCCTTGTAGCCATGAAATAATTCTTAAGATGTTGTACCATTCAAAACAAACATTTTATATTCGATTGAAATGAATTAAGCTAAATTTTAAGCATATATTTGTTACAGCTTGTAAGTATGGCCATGTATCTTGTGTGGAAATTCTATTACGACACGACGGTAGAGCCAACATCGCCAACAGTATTTCGGGACAAACTCCGCTCTTCATTGCTGCAAACAAGAACCACGTGGACTGTGTCAACTTCCTTATTAATTATGCGGCAGATCCGAATATCAGCAATAAAGACGGACTCCTTCCATTACATACGGCTGTGTGGGCTAATAGCATTTCATGTTTGAAGGCTCTTATTCCGGTTACAGATAGGAAAAAAATTGAGAGCTACTCTGGCATGACTCCTGTACAACTAGCAGTATTCAAGCACAACGTTGAGGCTTTGCAGGTAAAAAACGGTAAAAGAACAGCTGTGCTAATTCATTTTTCTTGTTCTCAAGCTTAAAGCTGTTTTTTTTAAAATTACTTAAGTTTCACTAGTCTTTGTTCATAGTGGGTTCTTAAAAAGTTACCTTGATATGAGATAGTACTTTAACAGGTTCTTATTGAACACAACTTTGACGTCAACGCAGTTGCATCTAGCAGTCCCGAAGAGATTTCCTCTCCTAGTCAAAATGGATCGGCCACTTACACTTTCACACACTTTGGATCGGTAACCAATCTGCGTCTTAAGACACCTCTGTTCCTCGCTTCTCTATGGAACCACGAGACTTGCATCAAGCTACTTCTAGACGCCAATTCAGATCCCAATCGGAATGACCCGCTCAAGTTCTGTATCAGCAATAACAGAATCGATATGTGCAATTTATTGGTTAGACATGGTGCTACAATTAGACCACGCCATATGTACATGGCGAAAAGTAACGAAATGTTGCAGCTGCTTTTGTCCTGTGGTCTTGACCCGACATCATTATTTGCTAACTGTAAAGACAGTCATAGCGACAACGAACATTGCGCTTTGATAGATGATTGGTTGATTAAACATTTCGCGACACCTGCTCAAACTTTGCGCTTGGTTCTTAGTCTGACCGGAAACGTGAACAAGTGTATGCGCTTTGAACAAATGTTTAGTCATGTTTTGCCGAATGAGCCAAGGAAACTGAAAAATTTGGTTCGCATTTTCATCCGGTCGCAGTTTTCGGCACAGCAATTGATTCAGTCAAGAGGGTTCTTTGCTCTTTTGAATTTGCCTGGAACTTTGCAAGAATTTCTATGCTGTCCAGATTTAGTAATTTGATATGAATGAGAAAACTAACTTATTGCATTTTATATCATTGACTGCAAATCGTAATGAAAGTCATATTAGGCTTCAGAATTGCTGTAGTTAGTTTCAATGTCAATTTTTAAAGCGTTCCCACAGAATGCGTTAAATTTTCAATTCAGTTTATTCTCTTTGCGTTTTCGTATTTACACAAGCATAGATTGTGTTATAGTATGAACTATCTTTTTTTTGCAACCTAAGTTGCTAACATGGTTGCGATGCAATTGTTGCGACAAAATGTGTTCACTTTGATCATTTTGATCCAGCTATCAAATACAGCCAATGCTAAGGATATTAACACAGACTATTATATTACAAATTGTTTTTTAGCCGCAAAGTATCATGGATCTGTAGCGTAGAGGTAGGGAAGATGACCAGCAACAAAATATCGAACCTGGGCAGGCTCGGATGTTTTTCACGAACTTTTTCGTATACTTGTTAAAATGCCTCCGCTCTTTAAATTGAGGCATGTTTGTTGGTACCTTCTTGTTTGATTAAAACAGGTATTATGAAAATGAATGGGATTGGGTTTTTTTTAATTTATATATTTTTTTTGAGACGCTTTGGAAAAATTTTTCACTTTTACAAAAATTTAGTTTTTCTCGAAAACTACGCTACCGATTTTCAAAAAAGGGAACCAATAGAAATTCCGCCTACTCCTCTGTTTGCCTGCATAATCGTCTAGTCTCTTTTAACCTAACCCCACTTTCGACAGCCTTTAAAAAGTGTGTCGGTTGAATTTTCGACGCAAACTTTTTTGGATTTTTTATATTTTCTCGAAAACTACCCTCCCAAATCTTGGATTTTGGGTTCAACGGAAAAAAAAGTTGTTGGAAGCTCCTCTGCATAAGCGATGACTTCCGATTTTTTTTTTGCACAAAGTCTAATTTTTGATTTTCTTGATCTTTTTGAAACTACGACGTTTCTCGAAAACTACCCTACCAAATCTGAGGTTTTGGGACCAATAGGTAGAACGGGCTGTGGGAGTTTCGCCTGCTTAAGCGGTTACGCCCAATTTTTTTTTTCACAAAAATTAATGACTCTCGGAAAAGTCGAATGTTCGATTTTTTTTACTTTTTTTGATACTTTAAGACTTTTCTCGAAAACTACCCTCCCAAATTTGAGGTTTTGGGTTCAATGGGTAGAACGGGCTGTGGGAGTTTCACCTGCATAATCGGTTACGTCCAATTGTGTACACAAAAAGTTATGACCCTCGGAAAATCGAATTTTTGACTGTTTTTTTGAAAGTTTTGACTTTCCTCAAAAACTACCCTCCCGAATCTGAGCTATTGGTTTCTGTGTGAAGAACGGGTTGTGGGAAGTTCCACTGTATGAACGGTTGGGCTCAATTTTTTTGGACAAAAATTTATGGCCCTCGAAAAAGTCAAATTCTTGATTTTTTCAACCGTTTTTGAAACTTTTTGACTTCTCTCGAAAACTACCCACCCAAATCTAATGAGCAACGTTTTAAGCTTCTTTCAACCTAACTAGCTCTTGGAATCACTTCAATTTTTACAAAAACTAAAGTAATTGATGAAATTATCAGGTTTTGAAGTCATAATATTGGGATTGAATTTTCTTTGCAAAGGTTTTTTTGAAATTCTTTGCTATAGGTCTGTTTTTGAAAGTACCCTTGTCCTTCCGCATCAATACAAAAATTTCAAAATTTATCAAACAGGTATTTCCAGCTTTAGCTGGCCTCTAGTTTCTTTTAAAAATTGACTGGTACTGCTTTTGCGTCATAATTGGCTTGCGTCACTTAGAAATTATGTAGACTCATAATTGGCGTGCGTCACTTAGAAAGTTTTGTAGACTCAAAGTTTTTCTCATTTAGTTTTTCACAGTAGCATTATCGGTCATATTTTTGCTTGTTTATGCGAAGTGCAACTTCGCCTCTGTTTTCAAAGCTTATTCAGCATATAATACAAACAAGACTGCTCGTATCAGGGCAAAGTGAGTCTCTTTTTACTTGAGTCTGCTGTCTTCAGCCTTCGAAAAAGTCTGTGGGGGGAAGATTTGACCAATATTTTTGATTTTTTGTTCGTTTTCTGAAAACTACTTCTCTCAAATTTGAGTTTTTGGTTTCAATGAATAGAATTGTTTTGAAAACATCCCTGCATGAGCGTCTACCCCCAAATTTTTTTCACCCAAATTTATGGCCCCCGGAATATACAAGTTTTTGTTTTTTGATCATTTTGTGAATCTTTTTCACTTTACCCGAAAACTAACGTGTCAAATCTGATAGTGTAGGTTCAATGGAGATTACGGGTAGTGAAAAGCTCTCCCGCATTAGCAACTACTCACAAATTTTTTCCTGCGCAAAAATTTATCGCCCTCGGAAGAATCAATTTTTTGATTTTTTGGACCGTTTTTTAAATTTTTTGAATACTCCCAAAAACTACCCTGCCATATTTGAGGTTTTGGGTTCAATTCAAAGATCGTGTTGTGAGAAGCTTATTAGATTACACGAATAATCACAAATTTTTCGCTCACCAAATTTTATGGACCTCGGAAAAGTCAAAATTATAATTTTTTGACTTGCTTTTAGTTTTTGACTTCTCTGGAGAACTCCCCTACCAAATCTGAAATTTGAGGTTCAATCAAATTTTTAGATTGCTGGAATTGTTCTGCATAAGCGGCTAGGCATTATTTTTGGACAAAATCTATGATTCTCGGAAATGTCAGTTTTGTGGTTTGTTGACAGTTTATGGACTTTTCTCGATAAGTATTTTGTCAAATTTGGTATCATAGGTTTAATGGAAGCAACTGGTTGCTGAAAACCTTTTTTTTTATAAAGGGCTATGCCCAGTAGATAGAAGAAAAAAGTATGGCCATCAAACAAGTCGAAGTTTTGATTTTTGACAGTTTTGGTTACTGACTTTTCTCGAGAACTAGTCTTGAGATTTTGGGTTCAATCGAAATTACAAGTTGAGAGAGTCTTCTGCATAAGCGGGTATGCTCTATTTTTTCACACAATTATTCTCGGAAATGTCACATTTTTGATTTTTCGACTGTTTTTGACTTTTCTTGCTAACTATCTTGCCAAATCTGATATCATAGCTTAAATCGAAATAGCAGGTTGTTGAAAGCCTACTTCTATAACTGGCTATACCCAGTTTGTTTAAGAAAAAAATATCACCATCAAACAAGTCGAAGTTTTGAAACTTTGACAGTTTTTTGGAAACTTTTTGACTATACGCGAAAACTACCGTGCCAATTCTCAGGTTGTGTTTAATGGAGAAACCCGTTTTTGGGATCTTCTTTACTTAAGCGGCCTGATTTTTGCAGAAAAAAATTCTGGGTTTTGGAAATCTTTCTGACCGATTTCAGAGAACTTCTGACCGTTCCTTGAAAACTCAATTAACTGTACTAAGTAGTAACTAAGTAGATACTTAAGTAGTAATTGGTTCAAGCCCGTTTTAGGTTGTGATTATTTTTCCCAAAAAAAATCAAATCGCAATTTTTTTCGGTCATTAATTTTCGTCCTAGTTTCTGTCGGTTCAATTTCCGTTTTTGAAACGCTTTTTTATCTGTAGGGTTTCTATTAGTTAACTTTTCAGCTTGAGTTTTGCTCCAATTTAAACAGGTTTAACTATAACTGATACTTCACAATTTTGTGAATTTACCATGTCTGATTTTGACTTTTTTTTGCTTTCATTTTTTTTGTTGTTTTTTGAATATTCAACCAATTTCAGTTTATTACGCTTGCCAAGCGAGTGTATTAGAACGATTCTTCTTTTCTTCTAACCTAAGTCGCAAATATTGGTGCCCCTTTTTGGGGCACCCCTACAGCTTTTTGATAGCATGGGCTGTGACATTCGAGTAGTATTACAAACAGTTGATGCATTTTTAATTCATCAAGTGAACCGAAGAAAGCTATTTCTTTCAAACAACATAACCATAATAAAATCTCGATTTCAGAAATTTTCTAATTCAATATATATCCCAGTTTTTCGAAATGCATAATTTAAACATAATCTTGCTTTATGATATGCGATTTTTTTACATGCAAAATTGTTTTTTTTTTGTTTTTGATGCTACTTTTGCTCTGGATAGTGCGTGAGAGTCAAAGTCCCTTGATTGCAGTAGGTCGCAGATTCAAAAGCTACACGTAGCGGAGTCTTTGCTAATTCGAAGCTTATTTCTACTTTTTCTTATTTCTTTTGATATAGCTGCTTTTTGGCCGTGTTCTCGCAAGTTTTTGCGAAGCGCAGCTTCTCCCTTGTTTGGTATATTGACTTAGTCAACTTATTATGCGGAATTTTGAGGTGAAAATAACCGTTTGGGATTGTGTTTCAGTTGATATGGGTCGTAAAAACTTTTAAGAATTTTTTGATGACACCAGTTTTGTTTTCGGCTCAACAGGTTTCGACCCAAAGTTTGTCACCTTTTTTGCTGCTCGGTAATTAAGTTTCATTTTTAAAGGGCTGTTTATGAACTTCATCTGATACAAATCTGCAGTTTTGTAGTTGTAATTTTTCAATTTTTGTCACGGTAATTCTTTTAACATAATTTATCAGAAATTTTTTCAACATATTTTCTTTTTTTTTCATTCAATTTTTTGAAGAGCAATATAAGGTTTGCATCGCAAGTGTTGCGAGGCTCCGCTTTGCCTCTGTGTTATGTTTTTGTTGTATCGCAAGTGAAAATGATCACAATTCAAATGTATTTTTTCAAATATGAGCTCAGGGCCAAAATACTTCTGGAATGATTAAAAAAATTCCATCAAATAGTGCTGGTTAAAAAGTCGAAATTTGTCTGGAGACAAAATTACTACCCCGTGCACAAATATTCCGTCATTTTCTTTGAAAATAGTCGGAACAACAACCAACTCGAGCCAACAAAGTGACTTTGATTTTAACGAAATTTCGAAAATCTCTTGATCAGATTTTAGCAACTATTGAGAAAGTATAAGGAAACAAGAAAAGGCTAACTTCTCTTGTCTTAAAAGATCAATGCATAACCTCTGCAGGTCTAGGTTCCTTGAGATATTTTCTTCTTTTTGGTTTCTGATATTTTTTTCAGCTTTTCTGTATGAATCTCACCGCGGGGGATTATCTGTTATGATTCAGATTTTCCTCGCAAAAGCTTGGTATCTTACCAGAATCGATTATTTTATCAAATTGCTTGGAATATAGAAGCACTTTCGCACTGAAAAACTGGAAAAATTTTGCACAATGATTTTTTTTCTACCAGAAAAGAAATTGTCTAAAATATTACATCTACGTTGTGTCATACAAACTGATATAGATATTTTTGGAGCCTTCCAATGTTACGCAATCAGACCGTTAAAAGGTCTTTTATTAGTTCGCTGGATTAGTTATAGTCAGGGGTGGATCTAGGATTTTCTCGAGGGGGCGGGGGCAAAACTTTTGTCGAAATTTTGTTTTAGGTCGACCAAATTAATTTTCCGCGCGCTATAAAGACCCTATTTTGACTAAAATTTTGCTCCGCAGTCTAATTTTTGAAAAAAAAACAAGGCCAAAAAAGCGGTTTTGGTGCACTTTTTGGAAAATTGACCAAAAAAATTGCGTTCTTTTTGGTGCGCGCTGCTCCCGTTCAAAATTTGCTTATACTGGCTTAGAAAAATTTGAGGGTTTGTCGGCCTAAAATTTTGGTCATAAAATATAACCAAAGGGGGCACTCTTTGGTTGGTGAGGAGGTCGAGTCCCTGAGAGGGGGCGTCCACGTCCACTAAATCCGCCCTGACCATTTTGAATTGCTGAAGAAGAATCTCTAGCAAAACGGGAAAATTATAGAAAGACTATCTCTTGCTTTTGTTCCAATTGTTTTGGATGTAGATTTGGTAGTAGAAGGGTTGCTTTAGTTGAAAGTTTTGTATGATAATTTGGTAATTTTTCTAGCTTTTTTAAGAGTAATTTTGATTTTTCGCGGTTTAACTTGTGATTTCTTTTAAAGTTAAATGCATTTCCATTGTTAAAAGGAAGGCAATTTTCGCTATCGAGCAACAAAAATGTAAAATTCATGAAAAATGTGACCGACGACTTATTTCAAAAATGGAAATAAATTATCAGATTTCCCAGTGAATTTAAAGGTCTACGTATTGATCCAGCTTTCTCAAATTGGGTTAATTTAAACAAAAATTGTCCATCTTAAATTGTTCTTTAAGTTCAAAGAGTTTTAAGGCCATCTATTTTTTTCTTCGAAATTCAAAAGTTGAAGGTTTTTGAAAAAAAAATAGGATCTTGAAGGTTCTTTTTTTTCCAGTTTGCTTGCGTTTATTACTCTTTTCCAACACTTGCACTTTGCTATGTTTTGTCGTTTCAGATAGAAATGTCGAAGATACCTCTTCCCCAAAAGCGAGAATCCACGGCTGATTCGGTGTCTGATGTCTCCTTACAAGGGAAAAACTTTCAGTGCACGCCAATGAAAGTTCAGAAATTGGACTTAGAAGGCCCATCAACTTTAAAGGGGGCTGCTAAAGAACCGGGATCAGGCGTAAAAAAATCGCAAAAAGATTTTGACGTCAGGAGCTTGAGGTAATATATACTAGCCAGTAGCCATAATATGTTTTTAAGTTTTTTTGGTCAAACTTCGAAATAGAAATATGATTTATCAATGAATTTCCCTTATGTAATTCTATTAGGTACTATATTGGGTTTTGCTTAGTAAGAGCCCAGATACTAAGAACTAGTGAATACCATACAGTAGCGGATTAAGGGGGACGCGGGAGTTCGGACACCCCCTTTCCCTTCGGATTCGATCCCCTGCCGACTCAAAGGGTCCCCCTTACTACTATATCCAGTTATCTATTTTGGCCCTAATTTTTTTTAAGTATATATTTTTTTCAATATGTACTTATTTTTAAAGGGGAGCGCGCGCCAAAAAATACGCATTTTTTTGGTAAAAATTTTCTTAGAAATGCTTAAAACTAAATTTGGTCGGCCTAAAATTTAATTTTCATTTTTTTGACTATCCATTCCTCCTCCTCGCCCCCCCCCCTCGAGAAAATCCTAGATCCGCCCCTGATACCATATACGAACCGGTTTTTTTTTTTGAAATATTTTTTGTGCATTGGTTTTCTAAGTTGGGTAATGTCATTCGTTGGACTATTTTTCTACGTTTCCATCGTTGTTTAGACAAGCGCGTGTTCTCCTGGAGACTGAAAATACGAAGTTATCAACATCTGTATGTACTCTGACTGCGGAGAAGGAAATACTGGAAGAGAAACTACGGCAATCTGAGGAAAGTAAACAGGAGACACAAAAAACATTGCAGTCTAAATTGGAACGAAAAAACGAGCAATTGAGAGAAATAGAAAAACGAATGGAGTATTGCCAGAACTCAAACGAACTCTTGGAAACTAAATTGAACAATATTGTATTCCAGCATGAAACGGATTTACAGGCGGAGAAAACAAAAAGCTCAAAGCTGGAAAATGAAGTTTCGGAGCTGTCTGAGAAGTTAAGACAGGTTCAGTCACAGTTAGATAGTGCACAAAGTAGGGAAAAGATATACATGAAAGTGCAAAGCTCGATTCAAAATAAGAAAGACAGTGAGGTGGCTCGGCTGAAAGAGAAAATAGCTGAAAACGAGAGTTTCATTTCGAAGCATTTCGAGTCGAAGCAGAAGATGGGGCGAATTCATGAACTGGAAAATGAAATTAAAGATCTCAAAGTTAAGGTAGATTTTTTCATTGTTTTGTCTAGATTTGATGCCAAACGCGTTAAAGGAGAAATGAGCGAAACCAGATGTAATAAACTCGGGTTGCTTTGAAAATTTTGTGCATGCAGGAGAAGGACCAGGCAAATTAAATTGAAACACTTGAAAACCAGGGTCGTGAAAACCAGGTAGGCTCCAAACGTAAATTTAAAAAAGGCACCTATGATTGAATTAAGAAGACACTGGTATTTTGATAGAAACCTGAGCACTTGTGTTTATATTTTATGGGTGAAACTGATACATGGTTAATTTCTTTCTCTCGGCTGTTGTTTAGCTATGATCTGAATAATGTTTCAGCTCAAAGAGTTTGAGACCTCTCAAGTTATAAACTCCTCTAACAGAAGTCTGGAAAAAAGAGTCCTGGACCTTCAGTCGAAACATTCCGAGAGCATCGATGAAATAAAGTTCTACAAGGAACTCAGTGGGAACACAATGTTGCTGAGCGAGGAAAAGCGAACACTTCAAGAGTCCAACAAACATCTTCAGGCTGAGATCGACAGACTTCTCCCGGCTGAAGAGAAGCGACAAGTGATGGAATTTGAGTTAAAACGCTGGAGTACTGTAATACAGTCGTTTTACCCAGACTTAGTGACGCCTAACTCCATTTTAGTGAAGTTGGAAAGTTTAACGACAGAATTGGCGCTGGTGAAATCAGAATTGATAGACGCTAAAAACGCAATTCTCAACAAACATGAATCAGTGTCTGACAATTGCGAGAAACTGAACACTACAAATTCGAGATTAGAGGCTGAAATTGCTGAGTTGAAACAGGAAAAAGAGGAATTAGAGACTAAAATGCGGTTCCTCGAGAAGAAACTGATGTTGACGGAGAAGCAACGAGACTCGAAGACAAACTTGTTGACTTCGTTTGAGGTTGAGAGCGGAATGGGTGATGATAAAAGAAGTGCTCAGATAATCAGTGAGTTGCAGAGCGAAGTGGCGAATTACAAAGAGATGGTGGAAGATTATGATAGGACTGTGAAGGAACTCAGAGCTCAGGTGAGATGTTTTAATAAATGAGTGTTTTCCCATCTGTGATTTTACTTCCAGTCTGACTGCGTGTTGTTAAGTTGCCTGTGTAACAAATAGCTAGTTTCAATTGTTTTCAACACTAGTATCAGCGTAATGTATTATTACAGAATGCGTAAGAACCTTCTTTTTTCCTGACCTAAGTCGGAAATATTGGTGCCACTTGTGGGGCACACGTACAGCTTTTTGATATCATGTGCTTTGACATTCAAGTTGTAATAAGTTTAAAAGTTGATGCAATTTTAGTTCATCAAATGAACCGAAAAAAGCTATTTGTTTCAAAAAAACTTAAGAATAATTAAAACTCGAATAGAATAATATAGAATAACTTAATAGAATAATATGTAGCTGCTTTATTTGTGACTAGTGTTAGACTCGTGAGACTCAAAATCTCTATATTGCAGTAGGTCGCAAATCGAATCCTAGACCTAGCCGAATTTCTTCTAATTCGAGGCTTATTCCTTTTTTTTATTGCACTTTCTAGAGCTGCTTTTTGTCGTGTTCTCGACAGTGTTTGTGAAGCGAAGTGTTGTCTAAAAACTTGGCTTTGTAAATAAGATGAATCCGAATCATTATATTGATAATAAATTGTTCCGAGTAGTTTCATCATGGGTTGCTAATTGAATAAGTTTACAAACCACGGCAACAATATTATTATCTGAGAGAGTTCCTGAGGATCTACAGGTTGGTTCACAGTTCTTCTGGACCGGAAATGTAATGTAGGATCTTACTGAACTAATCGATTTTTTCTGAAAGATCTTGGTTATCCAGAATGTAGCAGACTTTAAATTTATGATTGAGTTTGTTAACTTGCTGAAAGGAAGAAGTTCTGAGATTTTCGATAACTTAGGTTTATAATTAAAGATAATTATAATTTTTTTTTCGTAGCCTAATAAAAATTGACTCTTCTGAGTTATTGTGTACACCAATTGGTAGTTTTCTTGGCGTACTGCGTGACTCTAATAGTTTGTTCTCTTGATACCCTTACTAAGCTCGTGCAATCAATGAAGAGGCCTTTCAATCTGATAAGTTCCGAGACTTTTTCCATAGTTCATACAAGTGGAGCTCCTTCTTGTTTATATAGTTTATTTTACTATGCTTGACTTCGGTATTTAAGTCTTTGTAAGATAATTGTTCCGACCATTGAAAATGGGGAGGAACTTTACTATGTATTCGGGTGTGTTCTAGTTTTCCACGCAAAATCAGGTACCACAAATAATCATCGGACTGGGTTGAATGATATATCATATTAAAGCCCTTACAGTCGTGATTCGAACCCCCTTAAAATTTTCAAAAAAGTGTACCAGTTTCGAGAAAAACCGGTTTGAAATTTTTGATTTTCGTCGTATTTCGAGCGAATAAAGCGAGCGAGCAATTTTATTTTAATGATTAATTGCCTAAAACCTTACAATAGCTTAATTTATAACATAAAAACTTAGTTTTACTTGGGTAACGTTAGAGTATTTTAGCGCCTTTTTGGAATCAAATCTTTCAAAAGTTCAAAACACTTCAAATAATTTGAAAAAATTTCCGAAAATTTTTTGTTCGATTTTTCGTTTTTCTAGTAATTGTTCTCCATAATTGTTTTTCAATTTACTTATTTAAGAATGGCTGTCGTATATACCTAATCCCGAGTTTTTTTTTGTTCAGCTCTTATCACACCACGCCGAAAAATTTTGGATTTTTTAAGACTATGGTGGGAACATCCGGCTATCCTTGTTCTTAATAAGCGCTTCGTTATTTTTAATCTCGAAAATTTACTTTGCTATTTTTTGGATGCGTGAGCCAAAACACCATTTTGTAATATATGTTGCAAGATGTTACAAGGTGCTTGGACGAGAGAAACTTTCATAACCTTTCAAAAGTTCGCAAACTTTTGTCATTTTGTTTTCACCGAGAACATCAATGTGTTCAATAAATTTTTAGCAGTTCATACTTGATATCGAAAAATTTTCTGCTGTTCAATAGTCTCGTCCTTTAGAGTAACGTTGTGGTAATTTGTTTCTCTGGTTAATTTTGTAAATGGTTAATTTTTCTGGTTAATTTTGCTGGTTTATAATCAAATCTATCTTAAAACAATTTTGTTAGTTTTGGTGCAATAGCCCACGTTAACAACCTTTTCGAATTTGTCTCTTCATTGTCTTTTTTCTCTAAATAAACTCACAATAGTCAGTTTCAGGCACAAGAATTGCAGAAAGTACTGTTGAATCGAACCAGAGCCACTGAATCAGACGCCACATTTGCGAACCAGACCGGAGATTTAAGTCTTTTACTAACTAGTCAAAGTTCTACCAGACAGGATTTGGAGAAGACGATGGAAGGTGCTTCATTGGACAGGACAGCGATGAATTTGGAGAAGGAAAATCTGGAGACCAGGACCAATTCAGCCGAGGGATTCAAAGGTTAAAAAAGGGAGCAATATATCACTGATTAAGTTTTTTTTTTGAACATGTAAAACGTCATATATTATATGTAGTTAATTTTTGCTTTTTTTCGGAAACAACAATGATATTAGTGCCTTTGCTTGTCATCTTCTTCAAAAGTTTGAAGAGTAATGGCTATTTTTGGCAGATAGTTCCCAGAAAAGTCACGAAATTTTATTTCAAGGTATACTTGAAATATCTTGACCTGGGTTATTGAGGTGAAGCAAAGCCACTGGGAGTATTTTATCCCAATAAGCTTGCGTCATAATCATAAGGAAGCAATAATTTATAAGCATTATCCATAGTGCATCATTTCGTTTAAATCAACCTATTTTTTCAAGTTGTGACTCTGAAAGAAGACCTTGCGACTGAAATGAAGCGAGCCATCTATACTGAACTGGCTCAACTGAGGAGTGAGAATGCACATTTGAAAGAGAAGACACTGAGACTAGCGGCTGAGAAGCAGAGACTGATGAATGAGAGTATGGCTGTACCTGTGGGTGACCGAACTATGGCCTCTTGTGTTCAGGGATCGACAGAGTACCAAACTCTGGAAAAAGAGTGAGCATCAATGATAAACGATGAACAGTTTTTTTTTAAATGGAGTCTACTTCTCGGCGTTTTGTCGCTTTTGTTTGCGAAGTGCGCTGCGCCTCTCTGTAAATTTGTTTCAATGGTATCTCAACTGCGGAAATTGTCAAGACTGTCGAACAATTGTCCGACAGATTAAGAAAAAATTGTACGAAATTTATAACGATATTTTTTTTCAAGGTTTTTTGGCATCTGCTATTTTCTGTCAGCTAGCTAACCATGCCATGCTTTTAATGTACAGCAGCTGGTGTGAAACTCCGCGTCGCCTTTTTTTAAAGAGTAGATGAACGTAGTTAAGAGTCATAAATAGGACGTGATGGTCTTTTGTTTTCGATTTTTTTTCCGAGGTTCAAATTTGATTTTGCGCGGTGCGTCTTGATTTTTTTTAGTTCATTTCCTTTGTTAAGCTCCACTATCGAATAGAAAAAGTGCAAAGGTCACGAAAAACGTGGTTGACTCTTAGTTTTGAAAGTGGATTTAGTTTTTAGATTTCCCAGCGGAAAAATTCACCTTTCAATCCAATTTTCTCAAATTGAGTCCATTTTATCGAAAAAAGTATCAATCTTAAGTTGTTCTTCAATTTCAAAGAGCTTTCAGTTCATATATATACTTTTCCGTTTTTTTTGCATCTAACGACTTTTTCAACTGTCTATTGGCATGTTTCATTGTCAGATTTACTTCAGTTTTTTTTTCAAGTTCGTTTTTATTCAAATTATTTTCCGACGCGTGAAGTTGATAATGTCGCCCCATTGCGAATCTGGTTAAACAGCAGTCCGCCTATCTGGCAGGTCATCGGTTCTCAAGAAAATCTTGAATGCTGAACGTTTTTAGTGATTTTTTTCAGGAAAAATCTTAAAATGCTCTAATAACTACAGATGTGCATTCATACATATTAATGCATTAATAAATGCAATTAGGTCTATATGCACTTTTTGAGTTCAATTGAAATTCATCTGCTGAAAATTAAAGCACGTAAATAACACTCTCCGAATACGAACGTGGAAATGGCGCAAAAAACGTGAACGACTTCTAGGTTCAAAAGTAAGTTTAATTTATGGATTTCCAGCGGAATCAAAGCTTCACCTAATGATCCAGTTTTATTAAATTGGGTTAATTTTATTTAAAGAAGGCATCATGAATTGCTCTTGAAAATAAAGAGCTTTAAATGCATTTTTTTTTGAAGTTCGAGGCGAAGTATTTCCAAAAAAATAAGTCAGTTTTTTTCTTTTCTTGCGCTCATTACTATTTTCCAAGTGTCAGGCTATGTTTTGATAGTGGCATCGTTTTTAAAGTGACTCAAATGCGCTTGTTTGATTTAGAATGCTGACTCTGGAAGCGTTGTTCCAGGCATGCAAAACGAGATTGAAGGATATGCGAGAGATCATCCGATGTCTCGGGTAAGTAACGCTAGAGCAAATTAGAGGTCAAGCGCAATTGTATCACATTAAGGAGTAGCATCCAAATTCAAGGATCATCGTTCTGTTGTTTTTGTATTTACTCCTTTTTGAGTTGCAACAGGCAACAAACATCAGTCAGTAAAAATAAGTTCCATCATTTTCTATCCAAGGTTGAAGCCAAAAGATTTTAAACGAAATATTGCGTCATGTATCTGTTCAGATTTTCAAAAACAAATTTACGTTAGATCAAGATCAAAAAAAAATTTACGTTAGATCTAATTAACGTTAGATCAAGATATGAAAGTGATTTCCAGATATGAAGTGGAATTCAAGAAGACAGAGGCTAAAGTGGTGATCCTTGTGCCAATATTCAGACCACCTCCAAGTGAAACCACAATCAGCGAGTCTGACAACTACTTCCTGGAACTGGAGAAGATGGAGAACAAGTGGCACATCATGCCTGTGGAGACATTTCTCTATGAGTCATACTCTCACCTACTTTCCAGTGATTTGACCCACTCTGCGCCCTTTTTCGCCCATGTTATACAAGAGCTGTACTCTGAGTTTGAACCCGTTGAAAGCCATGGCTGAAGTGGACGTCTACAAACACGGACCAAGAAAATGCTGAGATAGTTAGTTGAACTTGGGAATAGTTTCATGGAAATTAGCGCATTTTAATTAAACTATGATAGTGTGTAAATTAAATTTTGAGGATTGCTTAGCTCTGATCTTTGTTTTCTGCTCTTTGTGTGTAAAGATTTTTCTGAGAATTGAAATAATCTGTCTGCAGTTTTCTCAGAGTTGTTTTTGATCGCGAGTAAACTCAGTGTCTTTTAGTTGGTTTGGTCAAAATGAGGTTGAGAGAGAGATACTTTATTTATGCGTCAACTTTTGTTGTTACCAAACTTATTATGAGGAAACTTATGTACCGTTTTTTCAAAGGTTGCAAACAGCATTCTTTGGTCAGGTCATTCAAAAGTCCAGCGATTCAACATTTGAAGCACAAAAATAAGTGATTCTCACCTATATAGGTGGTGATTTTTTTTCAGGAATAAGTTCTTTTTTCAGGCTCAAATTTGATTTTTCGCGGGTTGACTTGTTATTTCTTTTTAAGTTCAGTTCATTTTCTTTGTTGAAAGATAGAAAAAATCCTTTATCGAACAGCAAAAATTTAAAGGACGTGAATTTTCTGGAAGTGTAGAATACGTGAAAATAGACGTGATTTTTCTGAACTCACAGCAGAATGAAAAAATTAACTATTGATCCACTTGTCTCTAAATTAATTAACTCGAAAAAAAACATTCTTGAAATTCAAAGAGCATTAACGAAATTCGATAGTTGAAGAATGTTCAAAAATTTTCCATCGGTCTTTTTATCGTTCTTGCTGACTTTTTTTCAGGAACCAGTCTTAAAATTTGTTCACCCTCAATTTTGATTTTTTCGCGGTTTGACTTAAGATTTTTTTTTAAGTTCAGTGCATTTTTATTGATAAAAGGAAGGCAAACTCCACTATCGAACAGCAAAGTTGTAAAGGTCACGAAAAACGTGATCGACTTTTAATTTCGAAAATGGATATTAATTATCAGATTTCCCAGCAAAATAAAACATTCACCTTTTGATCCAGTTTTCTCAAATTGGGATAATATAAACAAAAAAGTGTTCATTATAAATTGTTCTACAAGTTCAAAGAGCTTTAAAGCCATCTTTTTTTCGAAGTTCAAAATTTGAAGATTTTTGTAAAAACACGTCTGTTTTTTTTGAGTTTCTTCGCGTTTATTACTCTTTTCCAACTGATTGTTGGCTATGTTTCTTTTTGCGAAAGCATGGGTCTTGTAATCGGGAACAATACTTTTTCCCGTTAACAACTTTTCCTACAACAGCTTTAGAGTCGAACGTCAACAACTTCCAGGTGCCCTCCAACTTAGACTGGAGGTAATACGGTTGCTTTGGCAAAATGTTGTTATGGTTGCAGATTGTTGTTCATTGTAGTTTCTGGGGGTCCTTGAGACGGAAAAAATTGAATTTTTTTTCGTCCCACCTAAATTCTGCTGAAAGATTGTCGGAATTGTTTCCACTTCGTAAATTTTGCTCCGTTGCTAATTTAAATTTCGAACGGTAAGCTTGAAGTATTTTTCTAGAATCCCTGTATGATATAAAAAGGTATAATGAAAATGTATGGAATTTGTTTTTTTTTCAAATATATTTTTTGAGAAGCTTCAGAAATTTTTTCCTTTTTTGCAACTATCTTGCCGATTTTTGAAAACTGCTATTCTCTCCCCTATTCCCTATTATCCCCTAGTCTCTCCTTACTTTACCCCACTGTCTAAAGTCTGTGGGGTAAAATTCAACCCATATTTTTGGATGTTTTTTTTTCGTTTTCTTGAAAACCACTTCGCCAAATCTGAGATTTTGGGTTCATTGGAAAGAACGGGTTGTGTGAAGCTCTTTTGCTTGTGCGGTCAGTTTTTTTATTCAAAAAGTTGTCCCTCTGAAAAGTCAAAGTTTTGATTTTTTGATCGTTTTTTGAAACTTTTCTCGAATTTACCTCACAAATCTGAGGTTTTGGGTTAAATTGGATTAGCGGATTGTGAGAAGCCTTTCTTCCGAATCGAATACGCTCAGTTTTTTCTCAAAAAGTTATGGACCTCGGAAAAGTCAAATTTTTAATTTGATGACCGGTTTTTGGAATTTTTTTTTTACTTTCGCTACTATCCTGCCAATTCTGATATCAAGGGTATTATCGAAGCACCAGATTAAGATTATTAAAAGTTTGTCTGCCTAAACTGCAACTCAAAACTCTTTTTCAAAAAAGTTATGGCTTTCAAAAATGTCAAAGTTTTGAAACTTTGACCATTTTTGGAAACTTTTCTCGATAACTATCCTGCCAATTCTTAAGTTGTGTTCAATCGAGAAACTCAGTTTTCGGCATTTTCTCTGGCCACGACCTACTTTTTACAGTAAAAACTTGTATTTCTGGAAATCAATTTTGCGAACTTAGAAGGTTTGAACTTCTTAGAATTTTTTTTGATGTTTCTTAGAAACTTCCCTATCAGAAATGAGATGCACTGTTCAATCGAAAGAACCAATATCAAAAATTTGACGGATGAAGCGGCGACTCGTTAACTTTTCGAAGAAACATGTGATGTCCTTGGGAAAATTCAGCTTATTTGAGTAGAGAAACAACTAAGGTTTTGGGCAAAGTACAATATTTTAAATTACCCATTTCATCCTGCATCAGTATAATTTCAAAAATATCAAACAGTTACCTCTTTTTAGCGGGATCCCTAGTTTTTTATCGAGACATATGAAATTTTTGTTGCGCCTACTTTTTCGAACCATTTTTATGTTTGTGTTGTATCGCAAGTTGTTATCGCAAGTATTTATTTTCAAAACCATGTTATGTGCGTACAAAATCGAATAATCTGTTGATGGAAACAATTTTTACTTGCGCCAGTTTCATTTTGAGCTGACTTTGTGGTCGAAAAAACATGCTGCTGAAATATCAGGCTGTCTAAATTGCGGGAAGCATTGTTCATTGTTTTGTTGTCATTTAAGAATAAATCATAGAATCCGGAGAACTAATGTAGGTGAAAATTTCAGTTTTCCATAAACTTTGTCGAATGTAACTTAAAATGAATTTTAAGGAGCAAATACGCATGTCCTATTAGATGAAGAACTCAGTTTAAACTTCTTCATCAGCGAAAACGCTTCAGCCCTGAAAAGGATTTACCCAAGCAAGTCCATGATAGCTTTAAAATTCGGCTACCGGGCACACTTGATAATTGAAGCAGCCTGACTTTTCAGCACGTTGACTTGCCACCATTTTGTAGAGCGCATGAATTAGTCAAAGTCTGCAATTTTGACACGCGCTTATAACTTTGTTCTCCGGTCATATCATTAACTTCAATCAACAAGCTTTTTCAAAATTGTTCATGCAAATTGAAATTCGACCCGAGAAGGAACGATAGATCCTCACAATACTCTTCACTTTTTTCGAAAATCGGAACAAAGGTAAACAAATGTAAGAACTCAAATGCCGTTCTTTTTTGTTATAACGGGAAATACAAGAACCTTAGTTATCCGTTGTGGGGTCAAATAGATTTCAAATCAAGATTGATTTCGATTCACGGAGTCCAAATTTTTCAGTTAAATGATTTATTTTCAAGTAAAAATATAACTAAATTTTCGCCCCAATGAAGTATGTTTAGAGTTTTGAACGGAGATTCAAATCAAATTTGAAATTGTGCAATTCACAAAAAAAAGATAAGAATCACTTTTTCAGATCTTGCTGCGATTTTAGTTTTCATATTTTGGTTTATGACTTGTTCTTTTCGTCGGGAAGGACTTAGAGGTGTAGAGTTTGTTAAGGTTTCTTTACATTATTTTTTTCTTAAATCAATGTGCTCGAAGGCTTGTGTGCTACCTGATTATTTTGATTTCAACTAACATTTAGGAAATGTTCAGTTTTAACGATAGTTTAATTACTAAATTGAATAACCGGTATTTGTTATCAGTTGTGAATTAGCATATAGAAACTTAACAGTGAATATTTTGTCTACTACCCAATCTTGTTTTCTGACAAAACGTTGGGAGGGATAGGATAGTAATCAAGGAAGTGTCTTAAAAGATTTCGAATCACATTCAATTTATGTTTTTGTGGTTTTGAACTTTGATGTTCGTTTTTGAAGTTATTGTAGCTAATTTTCCAACGGCAAATGTGGAATAATCATAAAGTGTCCGTTTAATCTGTACTATATTTAAATGCTTGTGACACGTATCTTGCCATAATAAAGCGTTTTTTTTTTGCAACAGTTAAGGGCATAACGTATCTATGCGTGGTTTAGCTGTATCGTATATTGCAATGAGTAAGAATTTTTAATCGAATTTCCAATTTGAATCTAGCGTTTGTTCCACCGAGTTAAAAGTTAGCTACACCAAAGTGGGGGGCTGTCAGATTTTCCCAGGGGTTGCGAATTTGGTTTCCAATTAAGAATGCCCAAATCCTTTTACTGTACGAGATAAGACAATTTTTGTGATTCAGAAAACTCAACTTATAAAATAATTTACAAAAGTTTTAAAATTCCTAACACTCTAGTTGGGTGCTGTCAGAGTACTCTGATGGATTGCGAATCTTGCCTTCAAATATGACCGCTCAAATCCTGGTAGTTTTTGAGATATGACATGTTTCATGATTTTCTAATTTTTTTTTAGAAAACTTAGATTTTAAAGAATTCAAAAGATTTGAAATTCCTAATATTGTAGTTGGGTACTGTGAGGGTACTCTCAGGAATTTTAAGATATAAGTTGTGCTCCCAAATGCGACTGCTCAAATGCTCTCAGTTTTCGAAATGTGGCATTTTTTGTGATTTTTCAAAAAAAAACTTTCAGAAATCTTAAATAAAAGTTTTTGTCAAATTTTGAAATTTCCAACACTCTTTTTGGGGAGGCTGTCAGAGTTTTATCGAGGGCTGCGAATCTAACTTCCAATTATTACCGTTCAAATTTTGGTTTTTTACGAGATATGACGTGTTTTGTGGTTTTAAAAAGTTCAGAAAACTTAAGTTCAATTTTCTTTTTAAATTTTGAAATTACCGACCCTTTACTTGGAAGCTGTCTGAGAATACTTTGGGGGTTTGCTAGTTTTCGAGATATGACTTTTTTTGTATTTTTTTTTCAAAGACATTCCAGCAAACCTAAATTAATGTATTTTTTAAAATATCAATTGAATTTTGAAGTCCTCTTCCTTGTAATGGGGGGGGGGGGGGGGGGGGGGAGAGACTGTCAGAGTTTTTTCAGGAGTTGCTAGTCTTACCTCCAAATATGACTGCTCAATTCTTCGTAGTTTTCGAGAAATGACCTTTTTGCGATTTTTTCAAAAGTAGCTTTTAGTTGGGAGCTGCCAGAGAACTCGAGGGGATTGCGAATCTCGCGGCCACAAATGACTGCTCAGGATTTTTATTTCTCCAGGTGTAAGTTTTCATTTTTTAATTTTTTTTCGAAACCTTAATTTAAAAATTCATAGCCATGTAGGTGGGTACGGTGAGAGTACTCTCAGGTGTTTCAAATTGAGCGTCCAAATGCGACTGCTCATATGCTTTTAGTTCCCAGGATGTGACGTTTCTTATGTCATCTTAAAAATAAAAAGTTAAGTAAAACTTTTCAATTAAGTTAAGTAATGTTTAAAAAGTTTCATGGTGTTTTAAAATTTAAATTGAAAAACTCATGGAAAAAAACTAATCAAGATTTGAAATTACGAACCCTGTTATTGGGTAGTATCAGAGTACTCTCAAAGGTTCTATATATTTTTTCAATATATGCCGTTTTTTTATGAGTTTTCAAAACTTCGAAGCACCGGTTTTCCCTGCTTTCCATACGTAGCAATTTTCCAAGTGTTATACTTTCTGAGATTGAATGTTTATTACCCTTGCGATGAGCAAGGGTATTACAATCGGGGACTAGATTTTTTTTCCGTAAACAATTTGTCCACAGGACTCAATCATCTGAACTCATTCATCTCTGGCATGCTGAAATTCAAATAAAACTACTATTATGCAAGTAGTTAATAGAACTACTATCGTACAAATAGTAATTAGTTAATGCCTGTTTCAGATTGGAATTAACTTTTTCAAAAAAACGCTCACAATTTTTCGGGTTGGTGGTTTTCGTCCTAGTTTCTGTTGGTTCATTTTCCGTTTTTTTAGCAGCCATTTTTTTATCTGGTAGGTTTTTCATTGGCCTACTTCTTAAGGCATGTTTTTTTTCCCAATTTAAACAGTTGGTACTATAACTGAAGTTTCACAAATTTGTGAATTAACCAGGTCTGATTTTGAGTTTTTTTTCTCGTTTTTTTAATGTATTTTTAACATCGTCAGTTCATGGTATATCGAGTTAGTCAACTTATAGTACATGATTTCCAGGGCAAAATATATCTATATGCGATTATGTGCTTCAGTTTGATGGGTCGTAAAAACTTTAAAAACTTGAGAAACAATTTTATGAGAATTTTTTTATTTTCGGCTCAACAGGTTTCGACCCAAAGTTTGTTGACGCTCGGTAAATGATTTTCATTTTTAAAGGCTGTTTATGATTTTCATCCGATACAAACGTGCGGCAAGTTTTTGTGGCTGTAATTTTACGACTTATTTCAAGTTATTTTTTCTCAATTTGATTTTCCAGAAGTTTTTTTTTACTTCTTTTTTTTCCATTCACTATCTTGTAGCGCAATAAGATTTTGCACCGCAAAGGTTGCGAAGCTCCGCTTCGCCTCTGTGTTAGCAATGTGATTTTTCCTTTTTTTGGCTTGCTCTTCGTCTTTTTTTCTTGCTGTTTTTGTAACTTTGAATTTTGGTTTATTTTGAAGCTCTCTATCAGACTCGCTTGCCAAAGTCAAGACAAAATACGATCTTCAAAAAGTCGAAATGGCTCAAAAGATTGCGTTTGACTTCAAGTGGCAGTAGTCTTTCAAATCGACCTCGAGGCCTAGGTACTGCCGAATGCTTAATGGACATGAAAGCTTATTAGTCACAAACCTCGGCTTGCTCGGCTTTTATGAGTCTGGTATTTTGTGCAGTTCCAGTTCGTAGTGATTTTTTTCTTACGTTTAAGATGATACTCGTGGCCTGATACCACTAATATTTCTTTGTCTTTGGAGGATAAAGTATAATAGAAGGATGCTTCAAACATTATAGCTCATTGAATGGTAAAAAAAATCGTTCAAGTGTAAGGCAGTATGATTTTGTAAAATTTTTAAAATTTTCGAGTTGCTTTCAAAATTTTGGAGTTGCACCATGTAGGTTATCTCTGTTTTAAACGTGCAAATGAGGGATTATTTCTTTAACTAATCGAAATGCAATTCTTTTGGAGACGCTAGAGGCATCAAGTAAATTAAGACTGGCTTTTCAGGCCTCAATTAGTTTACTTAATTGGAATGCTCCTGTAGTTATAAAAAGTACTTTTTCCGTAATGCTCCGTTATTATTCCTTCGCCTCTGTGTTAGCAATGTGATTTTTCCTTTTTTTGGCTTGCTCTTCATCTTTTTTTCTTGCTGTTTTTGTAACTTTGAATTTTGGTTTATTTTGAAGCTCTCTATCAGACTCGCTTGCCAAAGTCAAGACAAAATACGATCTTCAAAAAGTCGAAATGGCTCAAAAGATTGCGTTTGACTTCAAGTGGCAGTAGTCTTTCAAATCGACCTCGAGGCCTAGGTACTGCCGAATGCTTAATGGACATGAAAGCTTATTAGTCACAAACCTACTAAAACTTGGAAGTATAGGTTTCATTTGCGGCCTGTTCTTACCTCTATTTTTACTCAAGTGCTCTTTGTTTTTTCTCAAAGTATTTCGCATATCCACCGACTAGTTTTATTGCCCATTTTCTATTTCCGGAATTTCAGCAGAATATGTTAAATCATAGCTGTCGTTTCTGAATGTATTTGTTATGTCAGTATGCGGAGGTTGCTGAGATGTGTAGCTGAAAGTTTTTCGGCCAGCTTTTTGAAATAAGTGTCTTTCTGTAAAATGTATGATTGATTCCGTCTGTACCAGAAATTTTGCTAGGCAAAGAACTTCACATCAGCCTTCAAAGCTTTGTCCCTGGTATTTTTGCCACCGCGAAGTGTATTTTTGCCACCGTTTCAATTAATGTGTTTTGTTTGGTTTCTGGAATGCCTCGATTTTATCACGATTTTTTTGTATTACTGTAATTCTTAAGTTACTTAAAAAGTATTATCTGTATTTCAGATATTTTGGCTCGTAATTGAATGGAGATCAATGAAGACAGCGAAAGTAGCGAGGATCTGGATTACAAGTGAGTTGATATGAAATTTGAAGGAAAGAAAAGCCTCTATTGTTTTTTTTTCACATTTTCGTGACGTTTTCTATTTGATTCGAACTAATTTCTGGCATTCGGGATTATTAACGACAATTTCAAGCTGAGAAGCTTAGAAGTATCAAATAAAGTTCAGTTTTGGCTTTTGATACAGTGAGGTAAAAAGTATGCAGAAAAATACAATCTGATTAAATGGGTTAACCGCGTAAAATTCATAAAGTTTGCAAAAGGAGATATTTTTGTTATTAAGTATTTGGTTCCAAAGATTGTTACCCCCGTTTTTTAAACCCCTTTTTCTTAACCTCCTCTCATATAACCCCAGAACTAGATAACCCCTCTACAATTTAACCCCTTTTTAATAACAATTGTTGGAATCAAAAAGAAACTTACTTGAAAAGAATTCGGATCCATGGCGTCGGTAAACATAAAAGCTTTAATTGCGAAAGTTTTTGCGAAGCAAAACAAAGTAACATGCAAGCTGCTAAATGCTGTTTAGATTTGAACAAGAAATGACCTTGCCGATAGTCTAGACTTGAAAACTAATCCGATCGGCATGATTCAAGTTTGAACTTGACCTTGAAAATTGAACTTGACCTTGAAAATACTCTTGCCAATAATAGGTTAATTGGCTAAGTTTAAATGACTTATGGAATGAAAACTGGTTGCGACCGAAACTTTGATCGATCTTAGTTTTTTCAAATGCCAGTCATTTAAAATTTAACAATTTTTTGAACTGTCGGCATACAACGCAATGTGTAAAGAATTTGCCAGCCTCTAGTCCCAACCTAGCGTCTCGCCAAAGGAGCGATTTTTCCGGGATTAAATTGCTCGAGACAGTACTTTTCAAATGCGAGTCAAGCCATTGCGGTTACGTCTCCGTGAGGCTGCAAGAAGACGTCTTTTCTCAAAAAACTGACAAACAACATTTCAATTTAAATGAATACAAAGAACAAATGAATAAATGTTTAGCTTAAGTTCGCCAAAGCGTGAAAGAAGTGCAAATCAGTTTTCCCTTTGTAAACCTGCATTATATTGTGCACTTTTTCTTTTTTGTAACCTGGTGCCCGCTCGAGGCGTTAAAGAAACTAAGTTTTTGAAGGGAGGCGTCTTTTTTGCAAGTTTTCAATTACCACTCTAATACCAGGGTGTGAACAACTAAAATATGAATGTATGCCTTAATGCCAGCCCTCCACAGCTTTTGTTGTTCTTGTCAAACCGGATGTTGGCGCATCGCTTTGGTTCCGAAGTGAAGGAGAGGAATAGGACTTCTCGGTTCGGGACGAGGCTTTTTATGTAATTTGACCCAAAAGAGAGGCAGATCTCGTCAACCTTTGCAATTTTTTTTCTCATTATTTTATGGTGCGATCGCATGATATTTGAATATCCTCGACTATTTTATCGTACGAGTTTCCTATTTGTTCTTCGTTTTCGAAAGCCAGTGAGGTTAAAAATTTGAGAAAGATGAGAAAAATTCCAGACAGCTTGGACTCTGGGAAGTTTTTTCGGACCGCTTGAAGAGCGGCCTGCTCGAAATCCAGCAAAATTTTTTCAGCATTACAGTCATGTTTAAGTTTTTAGGGTTCTAAGAAACGATAGTAGGTTTTTTCCGTTTTGTTTGGCTATTTCTGAAAGACTTATATGTATGGAGTAAAGTTGATAAAACAATTTAGGAGTAACTTTGAAAGTTCCGTCATCCAACCAAAATTTTGAAAAAAATTCCGGGTCGCCAAATGCGGAGTATCAAATATTACAAAGTTCTTAAATAGCTCGGGTATTTAGAAATTTCTTGTTGCTGGAGAGACTGGTAAAACCTGTTCTCGTTGCTTGCGCATGAGTTGTGCAGTTCGAATTAAATTTGATTCATTTAGTAGAGCTATTGAGTGGCAATTTTGTCTGTTATGGGCTGAATTGCTGCGGCGACTGCGACGGTCGGGGTGTTACTCTCGCTCAGGTCCTTGATGTTTTTCAAAACTAGTCGAGCATCAGGTTTCCCGTCATGATTATGCTCACCCCTAGTTTCAATAAAATTTACGCCTGTTATTGATGTTGCTCGGCTTTTATGAGTCTGGTATTTTGTGCAGTTCCAGTTCGTAGTGATTTTTTTCTTACGTTTAAGATGATACTCGTGGCCTGATACCACTAATATTTCTTTGTCTTTGGAGGATAAAGTATAATAGAAGGATGCTTCAAACATTATAGCTCATTGAATGGTAAAAAAATCGTTCAAGTGTAAGGCAGTATGATTTTGTAAAATTTTTAAAATTTTCGAGTTGCTTTCAAAATTTTGGAGTTGCACCATGTAGGTTATCTCTGTTTTAAACGTGCGAATGAGGGATTATTTCTTTAACTAATCGAAATGCAATTCTTTTGGAGACGCTAGAGGCATCAAGTAAATTAAGACTGGCTTTTCAGGCCTCAATTAGTTTACTTAATTGGAATGCTCCTGTAGTTATAAAAAGTACTTTTTCCGTAATGCTCCGTTATTATTCCTTCGGAGAATCTGATGTTCGTGTTAATATAATTTTTAAGACAAAGACGATTTAGCCACAAGGTAATGGACCAACATGCAAGCTGCTCAGCTCAACAAGGAGAACCGCTGTTGTGCCCCTGGTTAAGATCTACATGCAGTTTTTGTGGCTATTTTTCTTGGCTGGGTAATGTTGGCTGAGACGTAAACACTTCACCATCGCTCCCCTAATTGACGTTCTTATTTGATTTGTCCATTCTTAGGCCTCCAGGATCCTCGGGAGACGAAGGATCTGACGGAGATGACGTAGATGTGGACAGTGACGATGATAAGTCAGATTCAAAAGAAAAAGGAGGTGGCGAAGACTCCTCAGAGGAAGACAGTGACAAGGATACCAAAAAAGAAAAGTCGACAGGAAAAAAAGCGAAGATGGTGACGTTTTCTGAGAACAAAAAAGGTAAGATGCTTAATATCCCTGGTCATTTGTTGAAATTTAAGTTGACACCGACGTATTCTGAAAATAAAGGTGAATAATAGCTCTATTAGCCATGACTTCCGTCGCATGAGTGAAAATCTTCGTAACTTGTGCGCTAGAAATTTATATATTTTTCTGTGAATGCGATAGAAATATCGGGAAGAATTGAGTTCTCTGACGTTTCTGGAATGCTCGGAAAATCAAGTTAGGTAGCCTTCCGAAAATGTACTCGAATCGAAATGTTAGAAAATTAGACGTCTCGTGAAATTTTTAGATCTGCCAGTACCCTTGATCATTTTTGAGCTTATATTGCTAAAAACTAGCTGGAGTTGTCCTCTAAGTTGGCATGTGAAAATATCTTTGAAGCAAGTGGTGTGCATAGGAAATTTTTCTAGGGGTTAATTTCCCAACTCTTTTAGGCCAGCCATTTCAATTTTTTGGGCTCTGCCGAAACAGTACAATGACCTTTTTTCTAAAAGTATTCTGCGTCACAGGCAATTTGCTAACGATAACGGCACATTTAAGAACAATACTCAGGACATTCCGACGCTAGATAGTGTCATCATTTGAACTATTTTGCTCTTTTTTGAAAAGAAAACGATAACGTATCTGATTAAGACCTGCTTGCATTTTTAAACAAATTTTCCTCGAATGGGAGCTGTTGTCTCAACGGCAACCTCAAGCATCGAGCTCCCTCTAACCAGCAATCTTTTGGTTGATAAGCAAAGACCTTCGCAATTGCTCCACTCGCTATATCTCCCCATTTTCAAATGCGTAGAGCAAAAGTCTTGTTTTCAACGACATATGACCCCTCCCCACCTCAAGGATCGTTCCGCCAAAAACGAACATAATAAATAATAAAAGTTTATATTTTTGGTGGGTATATAGGTTAAATTTTCACACCCCCCCCCCCTCTGCATGCTACTGATGTTGGCGTAAATTGTAAAAAAAATTCATTTCCCAAATTTTGTTTAGTGAAGAAGAAAGATTCGAAGACTGATGTTCGTCCCCCAAAACGGCCAATGACAGGCTATGCATACTTCATGCGCAGTGAGGGTCACAATTTCAAGGGTATGGATATCAAAGAGGTGTCTGCCCTTCTCTCCAGCAAATGGAAAGCCATGGGAGAAGAGGAGCGAAGGGTAATTGATTTGAGTTATTACCCTGTTGCAACATACATAATGTTGCAACATACATAATTTGAGCTTGTTAGCATTTTGAATATCCTGTCTATTCGAAATTTGCTTTTTGTTAGTTGTAGTTTTACCAACTCTATTCGTTAAAATTTCCTTTTTCTTTTGTTTTTTTTTGATTCGGCGTAAAAGGTTTCGACTTATTTTATATCGATTTAGTGGCCTCTTATTGCGTAGTTTGAGGACGTAAATTTTTCTTGTGCGCGTGTATGTGTTCTGAGGGAAAAATTGAGGGAAAAGTGTTTTTTCGGCATGAAGGGTTTCAGCTCAGTTATTTTCGGCTAGGTTACCGCTTGGTAACTATAAAGTCAAATGCAATTAACTATCTGTGGTAGAGGTAACACAACTGCTCGAGACCTAAGGATTGTGGTTCGAATCCGGCCGGGACTTTTTTTTGCTTGTTGTGAGTTTTTGTGCTTTTTCGGACTATCGTCCGTCTGTTTATTTGATTCGCGTAGTTCCCGTACCTCGACTTTTCTTATATTCAGCTTTTTCTTATGTTTCTGTAACACCCATGATTGAGACGAAAAAGCCAAGACCCTTGCTTATGTAAACTGGAAATTTCGGCTAATGTAATTTATTGCCTGCTAATTTTTGTCGGCTTAGTTCTGCAAAATAGAGTTTTTGAAAATTCGTTTTTGTTCTAGCATTGAGGAAGCTATTTGTAAAGTTTCTAATCGTGCAGGTAATTTTTCCGGTTATTTCGGGCTTTTCCTGCAATATTTAAAAATTTTGTTGACGAAAACGTTTTTTTTTTTAATTTTATTTATCAATTTTTCTTATTTTTTTTCGTTTGCCTTTAGGCGCAGTCAGTCATTTTCGTACCGCAAATGTTGCGAATTCGGATTTGCCATTGTGTCGAAATTAGCGCAAGAGTTACATTACAAACAAGTGGAAAACATCGGATAGTAGATTTAATATGGACTGAGAGGCGCCGTCTCTATTTAACCAGAAATATTTTGTTAAATATAAACTTATGACCTCTCTGTCGAACAATGTGAGACAACTTAGCCAAAACAAAAAGTTGAAGCCGAAATTGATGACTTTTTGTCGTATAAACAAAGAAAGAAAGAATATATATCTCAAGAGTTAAACCTGAAAGGGGATTTAATATTCAAATCAAACTTTACCGTTAGAGGATTGCAAACGGAACCGGTAGGACCTCGAAACTCTGTTTGAAGTTAAAGTAGTGGTGTATTTCCTTATCGGCAATGCTTGTAACTAAAATTTGTCTCAGAAAAAAACGTTAACTACAAAGTTTCTGATTACAAAATCTAGGATGTGAACTTTACTTGTATTTGGTGAATTAATTAAACATAAGATTAATTTCAATGACAGGAAGAACCAATGAAGAACAAGGTTTTTCTGCTAAGGACAATAAGTTTGATTTTGATCAAGTTAAACATAAATTTCTAAAATTATTTGGGTCCAAAACACTCGCTAGTCGGAGGCATCTTAATCCGGTTTTATTAAGTTTGCTTAACTTTGTTGCGGCTGTCTCTTATATTAATGTCTTGTTCCTATAGCCTCCATTGCATCGATAAAATTGGTTGGAGGCTGTTTGGACAGAGAACATCGAACTGAGCTCACATAGCAGCAATAAGTGAACAAGCTCAAGACGGTTCAAATGTCTCAATCGAGAACTGAAATCCAATTTTGAAATAAAATTTTAATATTTAATATATTTCTCGAATATATTTTGTACGACTCATGTTATCATGGCTACAAAAAATTTTAAGTTAATAGTAAACCAACGATATTTCAATATTTGTTAATCGTCAAGTTTTTTGATGTAAAAGATTCTGTTTCAGAAGAGAACTGAAAAGTTTTATTCAACTGTACAAAATTGAGCTCTATTTTTATTTTGTTTTAGTTTGGGGTTTTTTTAATAAAAATTACGATTGCCGAGCTAATTGACTTGCATTATTGCAATTTGAGCTGACAATAAACAATTAAAAAATTCTATAGAATGAAAACTAGCAATCGAACGCAAAACAAAAATAGAGTGACTTTATTTAAAAGAAAAAGATCCTCCGAATGCTCATACTTTCTTCTAAAATAAATTAAGATTTTGTTTGAGACTGATTTGTTTCGTACGCATATGTTACAGACAGATTGATTGAAAAATCTAGTCAGCTTAATATAATCACAACCTTCCTGGAGCGCGAAGTTTTTCGAGCGGTCGCGGCTATAATGTCTAACAAAATTTTTTTATCTGATTGGCGTTTTTTAGTTTTTTTTCTTTGGCAATTATTCATGACGTTGAAGCGTGTTGTAGCGTGAAACTTTTACGCGTGTTGTAGACTTATTTAAATAAATGTGTTTATGGATTTTTCTCCTGTCCAGTTATATGTAAATATATGTATTTTTTACTCCTGTCCAGTTCCCACCGTTCATTTTTCTTTGAATCTCAATTTACAAAAACCTATTTAAAATAACTGTTTTTCGTTTTTTAACTGTGATAAAAGTTGTAAGCGTGGACAAGTGAAGAATTGTTGCAACATTTCTACTTGCAAATCGCCGTTTGAATCAACCTGATTTTGTAATTTTACGAGGAGGGTGGTAAAGTGGAACAATGCCGTATTTTGTTGAAATTCTTGATCTTTGTTTGCGCTCAAATGTAATAAAAAGAAAAATCGAATACTGACCTAGTTGTCTTTATTGGAGATAGCTTCTTGAAAAGAATTTCAATCGTAAAAGGTTTTTGAAATTGAAGAAGATTTAATGAAAGTTTCGGAAATTGTAAATTGTTCAATAAAATCAACCAGGTTCCTTTGGCGTCCTTGAGCTCATTGACACTTTTCCTATTTACTTTGCTTCTGTCAGATATCCCATTGGGTTGAAAAAAGTACGGATTGATTCTTTTTTTTTACTTAGTGTTTGTTTAATAGAAATAGTGACAATCAAATAATTACGCTTGCGCTTGGCGAACGTTATCAAATTGAAATAGGTTTTTTTTCGATTGAACAGAATCATTTGTCTTGTTTATTATTAATTCGTTTTTAGCGTTTCATTTTTGCCTTGAGATAGCGAATACGCCTGGGAAGGCAAAGGTTTTGAATTCGAATCTGGATCTGATTTGTTTTTTTTTTCAAACTGGATGTATTCTGTTCCAAAAAATTTAATCGACTTAGTAAATTTAATCAACTTAGTGACCTAATGTTGGCTTTGCATCTTTGTTGAATGTTTTTTTTTGTGTACTTGAGTTAATGGATACTTTTTCAACTGTCTGTTGGCTATATTTTTTCTTTTAATGATGAAACGGAAATCGGATCTAGCCAATTTTTCCAGACATTTGACTTCAACCAATCGAAAATTTTTGAGCAGTTTTTGCAAATATACTGAAGTTTTTTTTTAATCATATCATGTTTTTTGAGGGGATCGGTATTTCTGTTAGTACATATCTCGGGCGTCTGAGATGGCTTCTTTTTGACAATGTTGTTTTTGGCTGGATGCGGTCAAAATGGGACAATCTTTATTGGTCAGATCTTATTGAGCTGGCTCGATTAAGCTGTCTGAACCAATCCTAACATTTGTGATGTTTAGCCATTCATTATCAAGCACGAAGAGGACCGAAAGCGTTACAGTCTGGAGATGGAGACGTTTTCAAAGAGTCAAGACGGCAAAATGTACCAAAATATGAAAGCCGCCAAGCAGAAGAAAAACAAAAATGCACAGGTACGAATAAGTTGAGGGGGAATGGGACCGAGCTTGGGGCCAAAATCGACTGAGCTTAGGGCGAGGCTAACAAAACTATTTTTAGGTTGTTTTCTTGTACAGTTTTTAAGGTTTTTTGCGAAGCCATTTAAGTTCCTGGTTTTCTTATTCATAAACTTGATTGATTGAGCGACGCTTTGCCTTATTACTGCAGCATCTAGAAGAAGAAGAATAAATTCATTCAAGTCAAAATAATTTGATCAAATAAACAAATTACAGCAACAGGCAGCGACTTGAAAAGGGAAAGAAAAGGATAGATGACGAGATTAGCTGATCTGCTCTAAGTTCACTCTGCGCAACAGGAGATTCAAATAATATTTAATTTGAAAGTAGTTATTCATGAACAATTTTTAATTATTATTAAAAATGAATAAATAAATATTCAGAGACAAAAAATGTCCGACTGATTTCACACAAGCCGCACAGTAAAGCAACACTATGTGAATTCTCTAATTTATCCAAATCAATTGCCGGAGTATAACTTAAAGTGAACTTCTTCAGTGAACTTAAAATGCTTGAGGCTGATAAATATTTTTTGTCTATTCAGAAATCCCGCAGTGGAAAGAAGTCTTCTGCTGATGCAGTTGGAGGCTCTATTCAAACCAATGGAGATGCCGTTGCTTCAACTCAAAATGTGGAGTCATCTGCACCTTTAGATCCTCTTCAAATTCCGATATTCACTGAACAATTTATAGAGTTTAATAGAAGTAAGTCAACTTACAAGTAGACACAAAGCCATATCTTGAATATTATGTACTTTTGCTTACATAAATTAGTTGAAGCTTTTCCAGGGTGTATGAAACTATTGAGGGTGTATGAAGAGTTTTGAATTTGTTTTATCGGCTTAGTTACCGATTCATCAATTTTGTTTCAATGCTGTTTTGCTGCTGTATAATAATACCCTTTGTAATATGTTTGTCAATATTCAAGCTTTTTGAGAAATAAATTTGAAAGTTTTGGTTGGCATATAGTATTCGATTTTGTTTCCGAACTATTTTTTCGACTTTAAGGATTTCGTCTTGTTTTTTCGTCTGCTAGCGTGCCATTCGATCGTTTTGTTTTATGAAAAGTGGCGCGAAGCTACGCTTCGCAACTGTGTAAAATTAATTTAACAGCATCAGCTAAGTAGGCTTTATCATCACTTTATCAAGTAGGCTTTATCATTTTTTTACTGTTCTTGTTTTGCAGTAAGTGAGCCAGACATGCTCTGTAGCTAAATAGTTATAGCGCAAGATTTTTCCAATGGTTTTTAAAAAGCAGGTCGCGAGATTGAAAATTGATTGTGCCACATTTTCAAGTGTCATTGAACACTTGCATAGGTCGTGTTGATTTTTTTTTGGATTCAAAGGAAATTTGTTCGCTCTCGAAATACGAAAGATCCAATTGAGCATTCGCGGTTTGACTTTTAAGGTCTTCTTAAGTTCAATTAGTTTTATTTTGCCAAAAAAAACTGTTTTTTCTTCAATTACGAAAGGTAATAAATATAACTGGTTATCCAGTTTTCTCAAATTGGGTTAACATAAATTATTATACTAGCGAGCGTAGTGTAATAGTATGACTCTATTTTTTCTCTAACATGAATCGAAAACACAATTGTTCATTTGGTAGCGCTTGTGCTATGATCACGATCTGTAGCATTGGAATTTTTATAGCATTTTGATTGGAGGTCATAGGTTCGATTCAGTCCCGTATCTAAAATTTGTTTACTAATTCGAGGCTTTTTAGTTTTTTAATTTCGCTTTTTAAGTATGCTCTTTCTACTTTTACAGCTTGCGTTTGCGAAGCTTCAATGTTTGGACTGTCTGTTCGATATTTTTTCTAGGCAGAAGCATAGTCCGCAAATCAGCATATAAGCTTTTTGAGATTTTTTCATGTAAAATATGAACGTAAAATCCAAGTTCGAATATCGAAAATGCTTTTTCGTTTTTTTTCGTCTCAAAGTATGTTATTGATTATATTATTCGCAACGTTATGAAATTGTGTTAACTTACTCAAGATGCTTTTTAAGAGTCATAAACGTAGTGAATACTCTTATATAGGTCTTAGTGATTTTTTTTCAGGTAACAGTCTTAAAATTTTTTCCAGGCTCACCTTACTTTTTCGCAGTTTGACTTTTGATTGCTTTTTATGTTCAGTTCATTTGCTTAGTTAAAAAGAAAGCAAACTCTGCTATCGAACAGCGAAAGTGCAACTTAAAACGAGATCCATTTCTGTTTCGAAAGTGGAGTTTTCAGATTTCCCAGCGAAATAAAAAAAATTACGTGATGATCCAGTTTGCTCACATTGGTTTAATTTTATCGAAAAAGTATCAATCATTAATTGTTCGAGAAATTCAAAGGGTTTTTAAGCCATCTATGTTTTTCTTTGAAATTCAAAAGTAGTCGAAAATGTATATTGGTGTCTTATTTTCGTTCTTAGAAGATTGTCATAGTATGCTAAATAGTATGCTTCAGAGATAATGGAGATTTTCAAAAGAAGAAAGTGACAAGAATTTCAAAAAACTTAGCGACTTCATCCGTGAAAATTTGTTCAGTTAACTTTTTTTCCCGACTTTTTTCGTTGTATCTCGGTATTGACTAAATGAGCTTCGTAATAAATCTTAAGTCAAAAAACCGAGACTACAATTATAAACAATAGACACTTGAAAAGTGTTAATGAGTACAAGGAAACCGGCAACAAATTACTGATCTCTTGGAGCAAGTTCAACCTAAAAACAAAACTCCACAGCACGTTGATTCTCAGAACATTTTTTAGATTCAAATTTTTTGGTTAAAAAAAGTCAATCTAAAATGTGTTCAGATTCAACGTGCTGTGGGGTGATGTTTTTCATTGGGATTTTCTCCCATTTTTGACCGATTTCTCTGTACTTATTTACTCTTAATAAGTGTCTTTTAACTATACTTGTTGCTACGACTTATAATTTTGATTTGTTGGGATGCTGATTTTTGTAAGCTTATTTGCAAACTCAAATATCTTATAGTTCCAGGCGCGATAAAAAGTTTTACATGAGTACAGTCCTTTTTTTCAAGGAAAATTGTATAATTTAGTGCAACGCTTCTGTGCACTCGTTATTGGAATACTAGTTTTTGGAGAGTTTCCTTTTTGACTATAATGATGGCTGAACTGAAAATAGGGTTTTGAACATGAAATCAGTTTTGTAAATTGTTAGGCTTTGAAAATGGGCAATTGTTTTTCCGTGGATTAAATAGTGCGAGATTTTTTTAAAATATCAATGATGCTCAGCACGTATGCGGGAATAACTAAATAAAGAATTAATTCAAGTTTCCACGCCCTCAAAAAATCCTTCCAAGTTAAATTGAGGCGAGCTAACTAATTGGTTCCAATTTCCAACTGATTGGTTCAGCCTTGAGTTAAATTGTTTTTCAAGGTTCGTTTCCGTTTTTTAAAAAAAATATATTTAGTTGTCCTATTTAACCGTTTTTGCTTGTATTTGCGAAGAGCAGCTCCGTGTTTATTCGATGGTAAAATTTTCTGGAAATTAAAAACGAGTTCTATAAGCTGATTCTCTGTCATTGTTCTAAGCTATATTTCAACACATAAATGTAAAAAAAATAAGTCGAATGGAAACTTAATTTGTATTTTTGAGTTCAATGATGTTGTTTTCAATGACGGTTAGCAGGTGACGTACACTATTCTATACTATGTTTTTTTTTCTGACCCTTTGAAAAATGGGTTGGAACTTTGTATTGGGATTTGTTTTCCTGAGTTTTTTTGTTTTCCATGTAAAATCAGCTACCACAATTAATCATCGGAGAGTTGAGCGATTTATCATTACGCTTGCGATAAGCAAGCGTTATCAAACTGGAATAAGGACTTTTTTCCGGTTAACAACATGTTTAACAAAATCACTTGAATCACAAGACTTCATTCACGTGCACACGTGCAAATTTAAGTTCTACCGGTCTACTGTTTTTACTGACAGTTCTTGTAAGAAGTAATGTCTTAAGTTTTGTAAAGACAAAAAATTTTCCGTTCGCAAAAAATTTTCGGACTATCGTTTGGCTGATTATGTTTTGGCTTAGTTGCCGCATCAGGGAATTTCCTTATTTTACAAAATGTTTACAGAAAAACATATGATAGCTTAGTTTACATCAAAATCAAACTTCATTCGCTTTTTAGGCTTACATGGTTTTTGAGAAAAATACTACGCCTGAGGTGGTTGAGGTCCTGTGTTCGAACCAGGCCAGAACTTTTTTTATAAGGGAAATATTCTGTTTCCGAAAATTCTTGACATTTTGTGTATCTGCCTATGTTTTATTCGGCTTAGTTGTCTTGTTACGGATATTTTCTGGGCTGTAAGTAATTGTTATTGTAACTGAAACAGTTTTGATTTGTTACTGTAATTTGTAAACCTACTTAGTTTGTAAAAAAATTTTCCTTTTCTCGCTGGTTTGTTTGGCTGCAATTGTTTTTGCTTATTTTTTATCGAGTAAGTGACCTAGTTAAGCGTTCTCTTAAAAGAAAATATGTTTTTACGCTTATGTGTGTCTGAAGGGGGGAGCATGAAAATTAAGATTTTCAGAGCTGTCGAAAGTTTTTAATTGAAAACAATTTTGCTCAACGGGAGTCTGATCAATTTTTGTGTCTGAATGCTTATTAAACGCCAGTTGTTGTGCTTTTAAATTGAACATCATTCTAGACAATTTTCTGAAGATTATGTAGTTATGGTTTTCTCGAAATGTTTATTATTCTAATTATTTTTTGACTAAGTGGAAAAACCGGTCCGAAGTTTTTGATTTTCCGTTTTAATTCGAGCGAAAAAAAGCGAGTAAATTTTGTCTTATTTTCACACTTTGAAAGCTATCAGTTGCTTAATTTCAGCTGTAGAATTAAAAGTTAGTTTTTTAAAGTGTTTCAGCGAGTTTTTGGAATCAAAAACTTCGAAAATCCAAAAAACTACAAAAAAATGGAATTTTTTTTTGAGTTTATTTTTATTTTTCTAGTCATTTTTCTATATTTACAAAAAGAGTTTTTGAACTTGCATTGTTTACTATGAATGTCGAATATGCCTCTACTTTTTCATTCAGTTCCTTTTATTACACTACGACACTAATTTGAAAAACTTTAGTTGTATTTTTTAAGGCTATGGTCGACACTTAGTTGAAAAATTTTTGTTGTAATTTTTTAGAGGATGGTCGGAACATTCTGTGCTACTTGCACAGTAACCGGCTATCCTTGTTATGAACTAGCTTTCAGTCGATTTAATTAATGGCTTGACAATTTGTAATTATTTTCTGACAAATTCTATTCCTAATACTGTTGTTATGCAGCGTAAAGGCTGCAAAACTCCTTATCGCATTTTTTTATTTTTTTTAAAAAGTGTTTAGATTCTTTGGGGTTGGCGTATGGAAACATTATGTATGAGTTTTCAGTGTGTACGGAAGTATGTATGGAAGTGTCTGAGTTTTCCAGGAAGTATTGAATTGTGGGACTTCGTCTGTCTACCTTATTTTCTGTCGATTTAACTCCCAGAGCATAGGGTTTTTAAGACTCATGAATGTAGTGAATACTCCTATTTAGGTGATGGTGGTGTTTTGTTTCTTTGTTTTCCAGGAAAAATGTTAAAGTTTTTTCACGCTAAGATTTGATTTTTCGTGGTTTGATTTTTTTAAAGTTCACTTCATATCTTAGGTTAAAAGGAATGTAAACTCCACAATCGAACAGCGAATATGTCAAGGTCACAACGATTGACTTCTAGATTCGAAAGTGAAGTAGAATTTATTTTTAAGATTGCCCAGCGGAATAAAAAGTTTATCTATTGATCTTCTTTTCTCAAATTGAGTTAATTTTATCAAAAACTGTCATTCATGCTAGTTAATTTTATCAAAAACTGCTATTTTTTAATTTACCAACTCGGATGATAAAGCTAAATTACTCAAAATGTTTTTTTTGACCCAATTTCTATTGTCCGCTCAATGGGCGTGCAACTAAGTGTCGGTGGCTTAGTGTCCGCTCGGTAAATACTAAAAACTTTTTTATTGCTGCCTATTCATACATATTGAAATGAGTTTTTCATTTAAAAAAAAATTGTAGAAAATTCTTTAAAAGAAATGCGACTTGGTTATTATTTTTCAATTTGCGTAACATATTATGACTGTCGAATCTGCTCAAACTCTTTTCATTCAGATCCTTTTATCACACTACGACACTAATTTGAAAAATTTTTGTTGTAATTTTATAGACGATGGTCGGAACATTCTGTGCTACTTGCACAGTAACCGGCTATTTTTGTTTCGAACTGGCTTTCAGTCGATTTAATGAAAGACTTGACAGTTTGTAATTCTTTTTTTTCTGACCAATTCTAATCGTAGTACTGTTGTTATGCAGCGTAAGGGCTGCAAAACACCTCGTCACCTCTGTTTTCGTTTTTAAAAGTATTTAGATTTTGTGGGGTTGCGTATGGAAACATTATGTATGAGTTTTCAGTGTGTATGGAAGTGTCTGAGTTTTCCAGGAAGTATTGAATTGTGGTACTTTCGTCTGTCTACCTTATTTTCTATTGATTTAATTTCCAGAGCATAGGATTGTTAAGAATCACGAATGCAGTGAATACTCCTATTTAGGTGTCGGTGATGTTTTGCTTGTTTGTTTTCCAGGAAAAATCTTAAAGTTTGTTCACGCCAAGTTTTGATTTTTCGTGGTTTGATTTTTTTAAAGTTCACTTCATTTCTTTTGTTAAAAGGAAGGTCAACTCCACTATTCTTAAAGTTTGTTCACGCCAAGTTTTGATTTTTCGTGGTTTGATTTTTTTAAAGTTCACTTCATTTCTTTTGTTAAAAGGAAGGTCAACTTCGCTTGCACTGTATCACAAAAGATGCGAACCTGAGCTTCGCTTGTATGTAATAGAATAAGTTTCATTTTTTCTCAGAGCGAGACCACCAGTTGAGACAGCTGCGGAAAGCAGCGTCAGAAGTGGAGAGTGAGAACAACCAGATCCTGTCGCACATGAGAGCCCTGAATGCGATGATAGGAAGGAACGAGCAGGACGCAGTGAGACTCATGGCTCACAACGAGGCACTAACAGATCAACTGGAGATGATCAAGAGGTCTGCGATTGAGAGGGTGAAGGCGACCTCAAGTTACGCACAAAATGGTAACTCATCCGAAGTTTTTAAATGTCTAATGCTAAAATTGGAGGCGACAAGATAGCAATGCAGAAATGCAACGCACAATATAAAGGTTTATATAAAATTAAAACTGGTTCAGTGTCCTCAGTAAACTGCATAAAATTTGTTATCAATTGTTTAAAATGTGTTCCAGAAACGCTGACGAATTTTGTGGAAGAAAGCAGCCATTCTTTGGAAGCTGGTGAATTTCTCTCTGAATTGAGCAGTTTCCTCTCGTCCGAAAAAGTGGGTCTCTCCGAAAAGATTGCACTCAAAGCAGCTTTAAAGAAAGTCGAGTATCCAAAAGATCCAGAGCTAAGCTGATATCTATGTTGAAGTTGCGTTGAAAATTGCATACGCTAAGCATAACAGAGAGGCCGCCCAGTTTGGAACGGTTGCAGATTTAGCGAGGTCTGCTTTCTGAAGGCCATACGATGCACTGGAACCAAAACAGAGTAAACTTAAAACTTATTTATCCTCTTGAATATAATAGAATATTGTTATGTTAATAAGTAGAGTCCCTTTCTTGAGTCCTTATACATAAATTCAACTTAAGTTAAAATAATCGTTGGTTTATAGTTACGGAAGTATCAGACGTTGTTCAAGTCAAAAGATTTAGCAAATGTATTCGGTGAATTTTAAAAACTGACAAAGTGCATTCATACATATTAAAGCATTTATGAGTGCAATTACGTATATATGCACTTTTTGAGTTCAATTCAAAATAATTTGCTTAAAATTAGGTAAATTAGGCTCGCCAATTACGAGGTTGAAACGACGCGAAAAAGCGTAAACAACTACGGGTTTCAAAAATGGATATGAATTCTTAGATTTCCCGGCGGACGACACATTTACTAATTGATCCAATTTTCTTAAGTTTGGAATAGTTTTATTAAGGGTCGATGAACGTAGTGAAAATTTTTATATAGGCTCTGACGATTTTTTTTCAGAAGTTTTAGGACTCGGTTTGTTCCTTTTTTACGCACAATTGTGCACTTTATTGAAAGGAAGGCAAACTCCTCTATCAAACAGCGAAAAAATTTGAAGGTCACGAAAAACGTGATGGTCTTCTAATTTTGTGAGTGCTTTTTATTTTTCTGATTCCCGAGCGGATAAAGAATTTTTACCTATTGCTCAAATTGAGGTAGTTTTATCAGAAAAGGAACCATAGTGTTCTTGAGATTAAGGGAGTTATAAGGCGATACATTTTCGACCGTGAACTTCGGGAATTGAAAAGTTTCTTTTCAAATATGTTCAATCTATTAGTTTTCGGGTTCCTTATTCTCTTACATTTTTCCAATTTTCGGTTTGCTATTATTTTTTCAGTTCTTTTTTTTTGGTTTGAGGGAAAATTTAGCGAGGTCCTAGCCAAACTCTTTTTTCCTAAGAATAAATGTATACCCAAATTTCAATTTCTGTTTTTTACGAGGATTTGTTGAAAGTCAGCACAAACAGTCCGATCCTGTATTCTTTTTTTCCTATTTCTAATACATCCAGTTTGTGTTTTTGTTCCGACTTTCGAAGAAAACGGAATATTTATGCTCGCTGTGGTTTTTTTATTGAGTCAATTTTTGCCGATCAAAATAATAGTTTTCAACCAAAATTTTTATGCCCCACTCAAGATATCGACTGCCTGAGTTCAAATTCAAACAAGACTGCTCGTATCAGGGCGAAGCCCTGAATGTTCCGACTGCCTTTAAGGTTTATGGAGCAGCAGTAATAATATAAAAAAAATAAATGAAATAAAATAACACGAAAATTTTTTTCTAAAATTTGAATTTTTTTTTTAAATCATCCCCCCACACGCCATACAAAGTACAAAAGAATAGATTTCGCTCCTAGTAACAAATCAATTATGGCAAATAAGCTTCATTCAACCAATTTGGAACGATTTATAAGACGTATTAAATCTCCGCTTACGCGTTAATAGCGCGAATTATATCGCGCGTTAATTGTCCCAAATTGGTCAAAATGGCAATCTTTAAAACCTTATAACTTTACGAAAAATGACCACAGGTGAAATATCTTTTCAAATTTAAGCTCAGGACACTAATACCTTTTGAATGATATAAAAAAATTCCGTCAAAAATGGCTAGTTAAAAAGTCGAAATTTGTCTGAAGAAAAAAAAACCCACCCGAGCACAAATATTCCGTTACTTTCGTATTGAAAGTCGGAACAAAAATATATTTTACCTCCAATTGTTTTTTGTATAGTTCTGGGGTTCGAAAATTACCAAACTGGCCTTGTTCTGAACTAAATTATGCGCTGTGAAGAATTTATTTTGCTGAGAGCGTAACGCGAAATTTTTATGTGGCGAACCATCCTGCACAATTAAATTGTTCTAAATTGAAGTGAGGCTAGCTCATCGGACCAGTCGTATTAATTTCGTACAACTCAAGATTTCACACTTTGATATTATTTAAAATTTACAGGTTTTCACTATTTTCTTTCCCAAAAACGTTTCGATATAAATTAAAGGACAGTCGGAACATTCAAGGCTTTGCTCTGATATAGGAGCAATCTTGTTTTTTTTCTAAAACAATTGTTCCATCCAGATCCTTGTAAATAAATTCCTTGTTCCCGTTTCTTGAGTAACTCTAAATGGTGTATGGACTTCATGGGGTCAACTCAAAAACAAGCAGGCAGCTTTAACAGCATACAGATCTAGCCGCATGCAACTAATATTCTATTCAAACAGAATGCAATCAAACAGCAAAACAGTGAACGCTGCAGTGACAATGGTTAGGAAACTATACGAACTGAATATTGCCTTAAGCTGAGTATTTTTTGGCTTTTGAATTATTTGCACAGTACTGATATGAACTATTGGGACAAAACGAATAAAATAGGAAATTTAAAACAAATTTTTCTGCAATTGGTTTATTATTAAACAAACAGTTTTCTTACCTCAATAAGTGATCATTTTTGATTCTTTTTAGTCAATCAAAAAATAAGTTAAAAAAACGTGTCAACTGATTCGGAGTCAACTGATTCAGGAAAAACATTGTAAATATGTTTTTCGTCCAAATTTGGCATTTATGTTGTAAAAATCACCATTTTGGCCTGTAAAACACTTTTTTTTCATAACATAATTTTTGAGAAATAATTCTATTCTCTCTTCACAATTGTTGCACCACCTGAGAGGCTCACATTGACATGTTTTATGCATTAGTTGTCTCATTTTTTAAAGTGTATTTTTTAATTACTAAAAAGATTTTAAAATTTAGGGAGAGGTTTTGCTGAAACATGAATGGCAAAATTAATTGCACCATAATAATACTGATAAAATTGCAAAAGATTTTTATTCTCATCGATTTTATTCGGAATTGGTGACATTTTTTTCGCTGAATACCGAAATTTGAATTGACAGAACCAAAAACTCTCCCAGTGACTTGGTGGTGGGTTCTCAACGTGCACGTTTGTGCTTTGCGCCGATAACCACCAGGGTTTTTTTTTAAAGTTCGCTCCTCGGTTTTGACAAATTCTTAATACGTGTCGCTCCTATTGCATTATAGGTTATAGTAGTAGATGTTGGAGCTGAAGTGGGGGGGAGGTGGCGGACCCCCATGTATTAGGATAGGGAATAGAGCATCCGGTCCGCCAGCTATGTATTAAGATTGGGTATAGAGTCTACAATGTATTAAGATAGGGAATACCGATGGTAAGGTTTTATGGTTTGTGTGATGGTAAGATAATGGTAAGAAAAACGTAATTTTTTGGTTTTTGTCTAGTTTTTTTGCAAAAATGTTGGCGCGTGTTAACTAATTTGTGAATATCGAAGGTTAATTACGTGTAGGTTGTGTAAAGAAGGATGTTTAATTAGTTTTTTGGTACATGGTAAGTCAATGCTAAGAGTTTTTGGGTAAAAACTTGGAATTTTTATGAAAAAATTTGAAATTGTTTCGAAAAAAATTCAAAAAACGATAAGATTTTGTATAATTTGATCTAATAAAAATTTATTAGATACTTTTACTTTCTATCTATCTGAATCTATTCTGAAACCTACTGAAGTTCGAAAAGTCAAGTTTTTGAGAAAAAAAATTAAATTACAATGAAAATATATAAATCACTGCATCGTATAGTAACCTTACTGCCATAATTTACACTTACAAATAAAAAAGTTACACATTTACATAAAATTACTTAAAAAATTCAAAAAATGCACATCATGAATATTATTCAAGTTTGTCTGGTAGAATTTAAAAAGAAGAAATGCTGAATAAATTGCGTAAAATCCACACAAATTATCAGTTTTTTGTAGCTTTCGAGGAACCATTAGTCGATACTTTTTCGTTAGAAAGGAATAAGCTGTTCTTTTTTGACCCGAAGAATCAGCAAAATAGTAAGTTTTGTCAAGTCGAGCTATCATGATCCAGTGCTCTCCTCTATTATTGCTTGGAGCTGAGTTAACAATTGCAAAAGAGTATTTTGTTAGTTGAGGTAGTTTATCAGAGGGGTGAGATCCCATGTACTTGAACATGAGTTCAGGAATCTTTTCAATGATTTGCAGAAGTGAAAAATTATCCATCTTTGCAACTGTTAGCTGATTTACATCTAAAACAAGGAAATAGAAAGTTTGATATTGTAATTTAAATTGCAAAAACTGAAGTTATTAACTTACGCGCATTTAGGTATTGAATCAACAAAGTCCCATACAAAAAAATTGTGAACTGGACAAAGGTTATTGAACACTGGTTTACAGTCTAGGTTGAAAAATTTTCTTGGGTTTTCAATTAAACAGCAATCATTATCTGCTTTTTCTGGAGATTTAGGTCTGAAGGAAAACAAAATAGATAGTACAGAGACAATAACAATGAAAAGTCCCAAAAAAGCTACAATATTTTTATAGGAACCTGAAAACTCAAAAAAGCTAAACATTTTTAGCGACTGTTCCGAATTTGTCAATTTGAACATTTGATAGTCTTTCTCCCAAGACTATCACTTCCGTTACTTGCTCCAAGGGAAACTGAAAAAACATTTCTAATCTCAAGCTTTCTCCACTAAGTTCTGGATAATGCAACTGTTCAGCAGCATCCTGTAGTGAATTCAAGTCAAAAACTAGAATATAGTGATTTTGAAAATCTTCCATAGGAAGAGCTGGGAAATCTTCGTTAAACTGCATTGCTTTCATTGTTGTAACATAAGGTTGACAAGGAGAAGTTGTATCTAATGAAACAATTGCTCTTCCACCCCGAATGATTCTAAGTTCTCTTAATTGAAATTGCTGATAGCTGAAAGATTTTCATGAAAAGAACCTGCAACAGCTGAATTTGTATTCATTGCAACAGCTACTCTTCTTATCGGAGCGTTATTGAATATTTTTTCTTGTATGAATTGGTTTTGACGAGATGGAATGATAAAAGTTCTTGCTATAGTTTCCATGTAATTGTATTGAGCAAGTTCTCTTTCCAGATTCCATTGCAAGTATTGATGATTAGGTTCAGCAACTAATATGCTTCTAGTAAACAACAAACAATCAACAATTTTTGGACTGACATTTGGATTATCAGATAACATGTAATAATTAGGTCTGGCTCGAACAAGTTTAATTCGAACTTTGGTATTTGGTAGCAACAATTTTTCGCAAGTAAACAAATCAATGGCGAGCCTCCCATAGAGTGA